TGATGTTACACGGGACTATTCGCAACGATGATTTTTAGCACAATACAGCGCTGCAATGTTGGAACAATGTTGTAATCAAACGAAACAATGTCGCAACAATGTTGCAAGCTGTGTTGCGCTAAAAATCGTCGTTGCGAATCGTTTAGTGTAACATCACCCTAAGACGGACACCTTTCGGAAAGGAACTAAGTTTCCGTCTTATAGAGAGTCAAATAAAGGGAGTAAAGAAAGGCAGGGACCAACTCTAGACGTCCGTTTTACCGAGGTGTCCGTTAAGAGAGAGTCGACTTTATTGCTTTAGTTCTTTGTGCTTCGCAGATTAAAGTGATCCTTGGTTATAAGGGCTCTAATGCAGATAATTTTAGGATTAGATTGAGTACGGTTAGGTGTGCACTGAAAACGACTATGTCCTAATGCCGTTTGTAAGAAAATATTGTGAACTAACAGACCGAGACATAAAGGATATGAGACTGAAAGGGCACTTTTGTTCATTTCGTTTAGCAAACTGGAGTTTGCCTTGTGATATGGTAGTGACGCTTGATCGAATGTTAGTTATATTATTGTTTATGGTCAACTCTCTCTAAGACGGAAACCTTTGGCAACGACACTCGACACTGAGTGTCCGTCACGGTCTTAGAGAGATGTCCGCCTCATAAAGAGTCATGTAAAGGCAGGGACCCACTCTAGGCGTCCGTTTTACCGATGTGTCCGTATTATAGAGGCGTCCGTTAAGAGAGAGTCGACTGTATATCAAACATTTTGGAGATAAAAACTATCTAATGCCGAACACAATCATATATCTTAATTACTCATATTATTGTTAGCTTCCTTACTGCGGTAAATCCAAAATAAAAAGCGCGTTCTATTGTCGGTATTGAAGACTGTAGGAACAAGCGAGATTACCTCTTGTTAGTGTTTATCTAGACATGATTTGTTAACATTGAAATCCATTTTAGCTGATTGGAAGGGTTATAGACCTCTCTTAAGTGAGTTTTGATCATAACTACAATTGCATGGACAATCCGTCTCGAATAGCTTTGCTAGCTGTGTGCAGCGTTTATTTTTTTAAAATAAATTTTACTGGGAGAATTACCAATAAACTTTTGTTCTTGTTGATGATGTTCATGACGTTGATATAGTTGTTGTTTTGATGCTGTTACCTGCGCGGCATGGGGGCTTTCTATCGCACCTGACCTATTTCCCCCGCGGCATGGGGGCTTTCTATCGCACCTGACCTATTTCCCCCGCGGCATGGGGGCTTTCTGTCGCACCTGTTTTTCCCCGCGGCATTTGCCCCTCCTTTTTCCCCCGGCGAGGGGGCTTTCTGACCTATTTCCCCGCGGCACAGGCTTCTCGCAAACCTCTGGTTTGCCCCTCTTTTTATACGAGATTGTTCTAAAATTTTCCATCCCAATTCAAACTAGAATAAGGTCAATGGAGTGCATTAACTCTTTGATAAGAAAGTAGTTTTACGAGAACCTTAGTATTCCAAATAGCTTCATGTCGAGTCAGAAATTGAGAGAGCTGAGTTTTTAAATGTGATGTTCTGAATCAGATATCTACTTTGAAAAGTGATTGATTATGGACGCAATAGTCGATAAGGCGTGCATAGGTGTTAGCTGACAGCGTATTCATCGACCTAACCAACTTATTTTACACGTGCACTGACGTTTCTCAGAGAACAGTGTCCCAATGTAAAAATTACTTTCGAGCCGGGTTAGCAAACAAGACAGGTTTCCGCCTTTTTAATTTTATGGTGATAATTTAGTCCAAGCAAGATAGTCAACTAGACTGACATGGAGAAAAACAAAAGAGAAATAACTCAAGAAGTTAGAACTAGGGTCTTGCTGAGCTGCGGCCTCCTTCATTGTCCGGGATTAGAGTGACCATTGGACTGAGAGGGATGATTCCCTGCACCCGCTTCCCTTGGAGGAACTATGATGCATGATTATCTTAAAGAATTCAAGGAAATGACCGGTCGTTCTAGTTATATCCTAAGAACAGGCCTTATATTTGCCTTCTGATTGACAGAAAGACGACATCGCCAGTGATCGTGAGTTGCAGGTGCAATTTTCGATATCAATTTATTAGTTGCACCGTGATGTAAAGCGTTCAGTGCTCAGTAACTAACAGGTGATAGATGGGCTATCAGGAGGGCAATGCTAAAAGTACCTTGCAGTAAGACGTAAAAGAGGGCTAGTGTACTGGATATATCGCGCAGTGTCAACACGCCCTCCATGGAAACCAGCCAAGTGTTGTTGGGGCTAGTGTGTTTCTCTTGTAATATGAATTTTTAAATAAAGTATTACCGACCAACCTACCTTCATTTTGAGGTTGAACGCGAAGACTGGGTCGGCGTTGGGACGAATTGCACTATGGGATGGGGACACTATCGCTTTCATATGCCATTTCCCAGCTGCCTGAAGTCTTTGTTTCAAAGCGCAGCCAAGTGTAGCCTGCGTGGCTAGCGTTTCCGTTTAGTTTCGGAGCAAAAAAAGACCGAGGAACGGGATTTTCGGTTTTGACCGCGCGGGAAATGAAACGAGAGCCACTCCCTCCCCGCTCGTTTAATTGCATCATTTTTCGCGCGGTCTTTGACTCTTGTTCCTCGTTCTTTGCTCCTAAACCGCACAGAAACGCTTGCTACGTAGGCTAAACTAAGTACAAAACCATTAATATGAAAATAATCTTTATTTTCATGCAAACAAAACTCGTTTTCAGTCAAGATGTTTTGCACTTCGTTTTGCACCTCGTTTTGAAAGTGAGAGTTTTTGGAACTCTGAAATGGCCCATTGGTTTTCACAAAGTTGCGCGAGAAACTGGGTCAAACTGACTGGATCGGTGTTGTCAGTGGCCGACCATTTAACTCTTGAGGGGAGGGGGGGGATGGGTGATTTTGAAAAAAAATTTCCTGCAAGCGCTTGTCGGAAGAAAAAAATTGCATGCAGCACAAATGTAATAGAGAGCTTATGGGAAAAAAAGGGAAAAAAATATCCGGCCCACCATATTGCTAGGAAAAAAAATTCTTGATGACCAGAAATCACCTACCCCCACCCTCAAGAGTTAAATGGTTGGCCCATGAGACTACGCAGCTGTAATTTCTTTCATTGTGTAAGGCGAAGTTGCGGGGGAAACTGGGTCAGAATTCATCCTCCACAACATTCCCATAGTGAGCACAGTGAGCATGGTGCGTTTCGACACTAACTTCGATCCAGTATCAAGTCCGACCGCAAAATGGTCAATACTTTCGCTTGTTTATTAGGTCCGGTGATTTCGTATATATAGTGGAGGTTATTCATAAGTATGTAAGTTGCACGTTACCCAAGAGCCCCATCTTAACTTAGCCTCGAGGCTTTACGAGCGTTTCAATGAAAAAAGTTTACTGAAGCTTTAAGTATACAGTTTCAACGGGCGAATCTTGATCTCTTAGCCAAAATGTAGCTTCAGTCTCCGTAAGGCTGATACGCTGGACATGACGACCCGCCAAAGAGCGAGTTCATTGCATAGCAGTTAAGGAGAATGAATGAAAATATCAGTCCAGCTACTGTTAGCATCCTGCGGAAGCTCAACCCAGGTTACCTCTCAACACCTCCTGGACACAATCTCCCCTTACCCATTTACCTCCCAAACATTCTCATGCAAGAGCAGAGTAGAGAAAATATAAGAAGATAATTACTTTTATTATTGACTTAATAACTGTCAGTGGTCCCTACAATGTGACTTTCCTTTTTTATCATTATTTTGTTACTTCGTTGTCGTATAAACAGGTTAGATGTCTCCACTCCACTGAAGTGATCGTGAGTCAGACATATAAATCTACCTGGACAGAACAAATCTAAACACTGGTGTTTTCAAGCAGAAGAGTTTTGTGTCAAGTGAAAACTAAAACCGACGCACGCATAAACACAATTACATAAGAGTCTGGAACCACGAAGCACTAAGAAACTTCTATTTTCTGTGGCCTTAGTTCACGAAAACACACTTGCTATTATTTTTAGGACCACAGAAATTGTTGGGTTATTCATCTATTGCTTATTTAGCTAATATATTGAATAAACGAATACTTCTAGACGCACTCTTACATTAACAAGTAAACGCGAGCACCAGCGTACTAACAGGAAAAATTAAAAAACCTGTTGAGTACCTGTGCTTATTTTTCCTTTATTTGCCACATAGATAAGTTACAAAAAAGAAAGATAAATGTAGAAAGCAATGGCGAGGAGGCCTAAAGGAAACTATATAGCTTATGTTAATTAGGCCTCCTCAATTTCAACATAATCACCCTTATGCTTTGCTTGCACCCATTAATCAGCGCCAATGCATATATACTGATCTGAACTACTTATCTGGACATAACTGCATCCTGAAGCACCCTGTTCCAGTTAGTTAGGTCTAAGCCTTTCAATTAATTATAATTTAAAATACCCTTTATTTGGCAAAGTCGTGTTGACTGTTACAGCCTTACACGTCAATTTCATTTACAATTTATGTTCCTGAGGATGATAATAAAAATAGGGAAAATATGCCACTTAGAACTCTGATCAGTGATAAGCGTCCAACGGCCATTCGGGTTACAATGCCAATAAACATTAAGATACAGCAGTGGTTATCTGAGTCCAAAATATTACTTTAGAAATTTTGAGAGAGTAAAAAAGTTATACTATTGACAGCTTCGATCACCAAAAAGCGCTTTGCGTAATTACTGTTAAGTCCTGGAACTCAGACAAGCAAATTGAAATTGACATTAGCATATTCCTCACTTTTGCCTGACTTCTGTCATTAAAAAGTCGTTTGCCTGACTTTTTTCATCCAAACAAACATTGCATATCAGTCACTTTGTCCAAGTCATTTATACTATTTATGCGCTGCTCCATTTTGTATTTTATAATAAGTTTATATCACTCAAATCGATATTGGCCATTGTCACTTAAAGTATCATTAGTGCTTCACCTCATGGTGAAGCTAGACATGCTATATGACTTAATTGTCACGTATATTATTCAGTCAAACACCTGTAAACGGCAGTTTTCAAATTCGCAAACAACAATACGACCGTTTGTTAAAACAGTAACATTGGTAGGCTTTCCAAATTGGCCCAGCTCTCCCCCACGTGATCCCCCAAAAGCAGTGACAAAACGTCCTTCTAAAGTGTATACAAATACTCTATGATCATTTGAAGAATTCCCTGAAGAAACCAAAAGATTACCTAGTCTATCCAAGGCCAGTCCAAGTGGTTCTTTTAATGCTATTTCACTGTTTACATTCGTACATCTGCCAAACTCATACAGAAATCTCCCATTGCTGTGGCTGTAAACTTTAACTAGATTGGCATTACGATCAGAGACAAAGACTTTATCCTGGTAACACAGACAGTCAAAAGGAAATTTTAGTCCACCCTTTTCCCCTATCTTTTTTAAAAAACTTCCATTTGGAGAAACAAATTGAAGACAAAAGTTTCCTTTGTCGCAGACAACAAGATTTCCCTCAGCATCTAGCGATATTCCCCGGGGTTCTTTAAGCAAATCACCGTTGTGAACCACCGTTATATATTCCCCCCTGGAATTGAAAAGTAAAATCTTGTTATCACCCCTGTTTGCTACATAAATCCTACCTTCATTATCTATGCATATACCCGTTGGTTTATTTACATAATCCTGTCCAAAGGATCTGATAAACTCCCCATTTTCATCGAAAACTACAATTCTATTGTTGTCCATGTCACTGACAAAGATCTGATTTAAGTCATTAACAGTCACTCCCCATGGGCTCTTTAACCTGTTCTCCTCAGTCCATCCGGAAGGATCAGATACCAGGCCCATCAGACTCTCAGTTAGAGTTGGTGCCTCAACAACTCCATTTGCAATCAATCGAACTGGGATAAAAGACCTTTCTTTGATGAAAATCGGTGGGAAATCGCCGATGATTTCTCCATTGACTTTAACGGCTGGTAATTGTTGCCCAGCTTCACCTGGAATGAAAGAGACCTTGTAGCTGCCATCGTTGTTATCAGTGATCTTGATTTCTGTAACAGTGTTTCGATCCTGTGCAGAGATTAACTGTAAAGAGACATAATCTCCAGGAAAATAGCACTGTTCTCCCGCCGAATTCCTGGTAATGACTTCAATTTCTGCTTCCAGCCCGGCTGTAGCTGCCTGGAACCATTTCACCGAACACTGGTTTGCCTCTGTTGTTGTTTTTCTAGCGGCAAGATGACCGATTCCTAAATCCTGAATTGATTTTGAGATGCCCTCGTTTTTCGTAAACATAGTTACAGTTTTCCAGTCAGCGGTCGATGGCATATCTAGGTCTTTCAGCTCTTGGAGATTTTGGAATAATTCATCTAACATTTTTTTGGCGTTCACGCATTCCACTTCCGTATTGCGTTCAACAAGGGCTTCTATCTGAGATACCAATTCCCCCCTTTTGTTTAACTGAACTTGAAATTCTTCTTTGGTCTTGCTTAGCTGTTCCTGTGCTTGAATTGTTTGGTTTTCAGCTTCGGCTATTAATTCTTGTTCCTTTAGTCGGAGAGTCAAGACTAACGATTTGACTGTTAGCTCAATCTGTTCCTTGATGGTCTGAAACCGATATTTGAGTAAACGAGACTTTTCCTCTAACAGTTGAATGCAACAAGAAATCGTGTCTAATGATCCTTTTGCAGAGTCAAGATTACAAGCGATGTTGTTGTTTACATCGTTTACAGCTGTTGCAGTAGTATTCTCTTGACGCTTAGCGTAATCAGATTGGCATACAGGGCCTTGTTTCTGTTTGAGAATATCTTCCAAGTCATTGTCTTGAAATGCGCTAACAGCAACCACGCGATGTTCCTGATTTTCCCTTAAAATATTGTGCGCATTCAAACAGGCTTGGCACCACAATTTGCTACAGTGAAAACAATACGATATTTCCTCGCTTTCCTCGTCACAATTAGCACAAGTCACGTTTGAAGAGCTACCCTCTTTGATCGCCAGTATTGCGAGCAGATTCTGCAGCTGGTGAGAGCTTGGCAGAGCTTCCATCGTGCCGGTCTCCGGCACAGCAACTTCAATCTGGCAAACAGTAGAGGGACATTTGATCTTGCCATCATCGGTACTTGTCCTTGCCAAGTCGTTGAGGCACTCAAGGCAGAAGACGTGAAGGCAAGGCAGCTGTTTGGGATGTTTGTATATGTTATTGCACACCAAGCAGGTTACTTTTTGTTTCAGGCTTTGCGTGAGTAACTCTGAAGGGACTGCCATTTTGTGAGCTTTCCACAAGAACGAGTATTTTAAGTTAATATTCCACACGGTCGAGTAATTGCAATGAAATGGGAAGAGGACAGGCTCAATATAACCCCGGGGGGGGTACTCGCAGAAAAATTGGGTAGGGGTGTGCGGCCCGCTTCCCAAAACCCTTACCCTATTTATGACCAAAATCTGCGATTTTCCCTACCCTATTTATGACCTAACCAAAAATTTGATACCCTATTTATGACCTGACCCTTAAATCAATGCCCTGTTTCAGACCTGCCTTATAATTATTTCCCTACTTCAGACCAATGTTAAAGGCAATGTTTATCTGCTTTTATTAGGTTAGGGGGACATGATAAGGAAATAGCTTCTTCTAAAAAAGTACATTCAAGACTACAGTGCAAAAATCGTTTCCCTATTTATGACCAAAATGGCGGCAAAATAGCCAAAATCGATACCCAATTTATGACCAAAACGGCTGAAAAACCCTACCCTTTGGGGCCGCACATACCTATATAGCCCATATTAGGGAGTACCCCCCCCGGGAATATAACACACTCATACAGCTCATAATTAAAACAATGATTGGCTTTCTTCGATGACAGCCTGTCATTGGCTACGCCTACGCGAAGTACTCAAGCTCAGGTCGTGTCAAATGGATCATAGGCATCACGTAATGTTTGCCACAGTTGGTAAGAATTTAAGAAAGGTAGAATAGTCATGTCACGCAAAAAGACGAGCTCTATTTGGCTAAAAAGAAGTAATCTTATTCTGATTTTACAGCATAGTACTGAATAGAATCAGGAGCCGATTAGATCGAATTAAACCGTTCGAGAGATATTGCGTCCTACAACTCGATAATCAATGTCGCTAAGGCCAGGGTCAATGGACCGTGGTTATTGCCATCCATTTTGGTTTCTTGGTAGGAAAACGTCCTATATAGAAAACTAATTAATATTGGCTAAATTATTTTTGTTGATAATTAATTCACTTCAGACGGTAACTGCACAACAGTTCTAGGCCACTGCATAATTTTTCATGTCATGCAAAAGCCGAATTCAACAATTGTTTGAAAATATTTCCAAGTTCTGAACAGACTTATTTCAAAACATTTGCCTGTTTCTAGGCACATTTTCAGAATATATATATTCTCAGTAAATTTCACAAATCGAAAAAAAACAGCTAATCTAAACTATCATATGTCGATTAAGAGAAGTCACTTAAAGCGATCCTGAAATGTTTTAAGTTCTCAACTGTAGCGAGTTTGGTTTACGCTGGGGTAAGAAAACGAAACCATGTTTTGTGACACTTGAAACTTTTTTCAGCTCGACTGCCGGTCAAGGTTTTCAAAACACTTAATGACCAGCAGTCCGGTATTTCCAATAAATTTGACTTTTCTTTGGACTTTAAAAATGGTTTGCCTGGTGCCGACTCAATATTTTGTTAATAATGTTACAACTCATCAATCATTTATTTAAATAGTTTAACAAACGAGAAGGAAGTTGGTAACGATGGTTTCGCGTGTTTCATTTACGTCAAAGTTAGAAGAGACTCCATTGTTGCATATATATACTACATCACCTGGCTGGTGAAAACGCAGAAGTCTCCGACTACTACGGTACAGTTTTGTAACCGGATAGTCGTTTTGAGGCTTACCACCATATGATATAGGTCGAAGCGGACCAAGCACACATTTGGATGCTTCGGCGAGGTCCGCCAGTAGAATATTCTTATTCCATCAAAGATTCCTTTTATTTGAAAATGTGTATTTCTTAATTTAATTTAATTTTTTTCAAAAAGTAGGGGGGGGGGGGGGCTAGCCCCCTAGCCCCTCCCCCTGGGCGAGCCCTGTTATTACTGCATGTTTTCAGTACCATATGTGTCCATGGATAAAAAACAAACAAACAAAAAAACATTGTATCAGTGCTATCCTGACTGTTTCGCAGTTCGTGAGACGAATACGAGAAACTTTACAATTAAAACAATATATATTCCAAATAACTATGACCTATAGACCCGCAAATGATTTAATATCTTCCTGTATTTCTAAGAAATAACGACAGGCTGCGTAACAATCATTGCATTTACTAAGAGTTAGAATGAACGAAGAGGAGGTGAAGGAATTTCCACTAGCCTTAACTGTAACAAAACGATCTTTCACGCCCCTTAGATGTATCGGAGAAGGAACTACAGAAGCAGTTAAACTGAAATTTCCATGGGCAGTTGCCGTAAATGACTCCAATGAAATCTTCGTGAGCGATTTGGATAACAATCGCGTTGTGGTTTTCTCTGAAAATGGGGAGTTCATAAGATCCTTTGGAGAAAACGTTCTTCGCCGCCCAACAGGTTTGGTTGTTAATAACACGGGTCGATTAATCGTAGTAAATAGACTTGATGGCAAAATATTGTCATTTACATCAACCGGCGAATACATTGGGCCTTTTTACAATGGTGATGTACTGAAAGAACCCCGAGGAATAGCGCTGGATTCACAAGGATGTTTGTGACGCGGGAAATGGATGTGTCCGGTTTATTTCTCCTCAAGGAAGCATTTTCAAGACTATAGGGTACGGTTTTTTGCAAGAGCCGCTTAAAATCATTGTTTCTGATGGAGAAGCCCATCTTGTTAAGGTTTTCAATAGCAATGGAAGATATTTGTATCAATTTGGAAGACAAGGAAGTGGGGATGGAGAGCTTCAAAGGCCATGTGGATTAGCAATAGACAAAACAGGCCACCTTCTTGTTTGCGGTTTCAGTAGTAATAGAATACAGATTCTTACTTTGGAGGGAGATTTTGTCACAAAGTTTGGGAACTATGGGGAAAAATTGGGGGAATTGATGGGCCCTACTGACATTTCTATACTAAAAAGCGGACACTTTGTTGTTTGTGAGTTTAAAAGCAACCGTTTACAAATTTTTGAATAGCTCAGGAAAGGCCTTCACTGAACTAGCAAAACATAAAAGTAAGTCTAGTCAGAGTACTAAATTTTTACAGTAGAAACAGTGCAGTCACGATGGCATGTGACAATAAGTTGACCAAGTAACTCGTTGTTTCGCTTTTCAAAGGTTGCAAGCTAGGTTTAGTTACTGAACTTTTCATGAGCTGGACCTAATTTGAATTTAATTACGTGCATAAACGTTCGGCCAAAGCTTTTGACTCACTCATTGAAAACGACCATTTCAATTTGGAAGCTCTGCACCGTTTTCCCGCCCGCATGCATTTGTCAGTCGGCTTGGAATGTCGACTGTACCTTTTTCGGAACGGTTCCACACACCAACCTTTAATTTCTGTTGCCGAGCCTCATGCATCTTGATTATAGATCAAGTACGACAGTATTGCATTGGCAATTTTAAAGTTGTTTTGCCCCAAGCTGCATTTTCAGCCTCTGAATCAACAGGCAGACTTTTGTTTGGTTAATTTGTAGCGGCCTCAGGGTTTTCCGAATTCAAATTAGATCGGTTCGTGAAATATGGACTCAAACGGGAGTTGCCTTAAGTTTGCAGATTGAACAACATTAGTAACTAAAACGCGGTATGTAGTACTCTCAGCGGCGTCCTGAAACAAAAAACTACGCTTAATATGATTTGCCGGTTGTAACCGCACCAGGAAAGCTTTCTTTTCTATAAACATTAATTAAAAGGCAAAATATGAGCTTCAGTTCTTGAAAGAAGCCATAACAGACATCAAGTCCAGGTGAAATATTATAAAGAAGCGCGAGGACCAAGCCACCAATGAAAGTAGATTAGAAATAGATTTTTTAAAATAGGTTTTGTTGATTTTTGGTGACCAACAGTTGCAAACCAACAGCACTGAGTGATGAAGCGCTAGCTCACCTTAAATGTGATACACTGGGGCCCAGACGGGAGATTCACGCGTTAAACCTTGTGAAGAAATGTCTAAATAAGCGCTGCCCGGAATTTTTAATGGCCTACTTTTATTTTAATAGAGATATCGTACAGAGAAAAACGAGGCAAAGTAATCATCTCCGTCTTCCCTCCATCAAATTAGAATTTACGAAAAAAGCATTTTGTTATCATGGATGTGAAGTTTTTAATCGTAATTTGTAGTTTTTAGTAATAGTTTGTAATAATTTTTATCCTTTTTTTAGGACATTTTTCTATTAGCTTAGTTAGGACTAGTTTTAAGTATTTTTAACCTATTTTTATATTTCTTTTTTATCTAGGGCCTCTAAGGATCTCAGTTTTTGCAACTGTAGGAGTTACCCTAGCTAAATAAAAGTATCTTCTTCTTCTTCTTTTTCTTCTTCTTGACGTTAAAGTTTTACTAAATAAATTTAAGTTTACTAAGAACTTTAGATATTTCAGTAATCTTATTGTTAAATAAGATGTACGTTTGTTGTCAATACTTAACTTTGCCCGAAATTGTCTGTGATGTGTTGATATTTAATAAGAATGGATTGGACAGTATCAGTTTCTTGTATATATGCGTTATTGATCAAGCGTGAAGTGAGATGGATGGATATTGGCCAAAATGCAAGTTCTTTTTTGTGTTTTTATGGACCAAAACGAATTCGAAGTGTATCCCAAAACCAGGCCAATACCTATCAATTTTGACTCAACTTTAGTCAAAATTGATAGATATCATGTATCGTAACTTTTTCTTTCGGGATTAACGCGGGAAATGAGACTGAGAAATTCTCTTAGACTAATGTTCAGAACATGAAACAGTCTGGGAAATGGGGTTGGGTACCTGATATGATACGGATATGAGCTTATAGAACCTTCGGGCCTGAGGACATTAGCATCTCCGAGCGATCAAAATACACTGGAAAGACATCTGCCATTAGGCAGGCAATTCGACCCTACTTCAGCAAAGATTCCAATCCTTAGCCGGATTCCGGATTCTCAGAGCTGAATTCCGGATTCCGAAGCCCAGGATTTCCTATTCCACAAGCAAAAGTTTCCGCGGAGTTTTTTACACGAGGCGAGTTACACGAATTTTGAATGAGGCTCATCATTCAAATCCATACATAACCAAAATAAATGCACAATGCTAACAAGAAAAGCAATTACACTAAAAAGAATCGTTCTTGGTAAACCTGAATGGCAGGAGTCGATTACCGGCTCCTGTGAGGCTGTGAATGGTCATATTGCATGGTTTCTGCATTAGGTTCAGTAATATCGTGACTATTTCCAGTTCGCGTGACAAAGATGATGAAATTACAAAAAATTATTTCAAATTATCATGACCTGCAGACCCGGGAATTATATAACATCTACCTTTATTTAAATTCTAAGAAATCACGAGGCGCTACGCAACAATGATCCACCTGTCACTTTATTTTAATAACTTAACTCCATGTTAAAATACCGAATTATTGAGATCGTCTTTGGAGCAGTTTCGATACCTCCTATTCAAACAAGATGGATGTCCCAACTCTGATGTACAATCTAAGGGAGGAAGTAACTTGCTCGGTGTGCATGCAACTGTACACAAACCCTAAGCAACTGCCTTGCTTGCACATTTTTTGCCTTCAATGTCTTAACAACTTAGCTCGAACCAGCGCCCATAGTGGCAAGATCAAATGTCCGCTCTGCCAGAGAGAAGTCGATATTCCCGAGAGTGGTACCTTGGATACTCTACCTAACTGTTTTCACATGAAGAACCTACTCGATATTCTAGCCATCAAAGAATGCGACACTGCAAAGGTAACGTGTGGAAACTGTGAGATGAAACGCGAAGAAGCATCCTATTGTTTTCACTGTGGTAAGTTCTGGTGCAATGATTGTGTGAATGCACACAACATCTTGCGAGAAAACAGAGAGCACCGTGTCCTTGCTCTCAAAGATTTCAAAGGCAAGGATTTTGAGGATGTTCTCAAGCGACCAGTATTTTGCCAGAGGGAGCTTCATGATAAAGAAATACTCAAGTTTTATTGTAAGGAATGTGATATTCCCGTGTGTCAAACTTGCGTTATTGTAGATCACAATAAACACGATGTGGAGCATTTGGAAGTTGCTGCAAGAGAGGTGAAGAAGAGTATCACTTCTAAGCTGGCTGCTGCAAGGGAGTCATTGAACGCGATATCCCGCAAATACACAGCCGAAAAGGAGGAAATATCCCACCTAATTACATATTCTTCTGAAACAAACAAGGAGCGGATACAGCAAATGGTTAAATCTCTTATCTCGATCCTTCAACAAAAAGAACAAGAACTGATAGCTGAACAAGAAACTCAGAGGAAAATGGCAGAAGAAGAACTTAATAAAAGCGCCGTTAATTTTGAGGATCGTTTTAGAAAAAGGGAGGAATCCATCTCAAATGTTGAGGCCATTGTTGAACGCAGCACAGGGGCAGATCTGGTTAGGACCAAGGCAAGCATAGATAAACTCTTCAAAGGACTTCAAGAGCCAAAAGTTACATCATCTACAAGGGAAATTAAAGTTCACTCGAAAGTGTTTGTGGGGAACGAAGAAATCTCTAAAGTCCTTGAAGAGTCGGTAATTGGAAGTCTTGAGCAATCTTCCACTGAAGCATACCAGTGTTTAGTTCATGGGTTCGGAGGAGCTACTGCTGGACTAGAGACCGAATTCGAAGTTATCACGAGGAATTCGGAAGGAAAAGAATGCTATTGTTCAGGAGACGTTATAGATGTGCAGCTTATTTCATTGCAACAAGATCTTAACATTAACAACATTCCTGAGGAAGTGAAAATAGTTGATAGAAAAAATGGCAGGTACACGGTTTCCTTCATCACAAGAGAAAGTGGACAATATTTATTAACTGTTCAAGTAAATGGAGAACACATTAGGAAATTTCCATCCATTGAAATTAATGAACGGTGCTTTAAGCCTTTAAGGTTCATTGGAGAAAGAGCTGTTGACGGTCTACGATTGTGCACGCCCTGGGGAATAACTGCGAATGACGCGAATGAAATCTTTGTAAGCGACATGAGTAACAATCGCATTGTGGTTTTCAATGAAAATGGGGAGTTTATCAGATCTTTTGGACAAAATTTTCTTACCTGGCCAAATGGGGTGCTTTGTGACAATATGGGGAGAATTTTTGTAACAAGTAGAAATAACAACAAAATATTAGTGTTTGGGCAAAGTGGGGAATATATTTCAACATTTCACAATGGTAATTCACTAAGAGGACCAAGGGGAATATCATTTGATGCTGATGGGAATCTTATAGTTTGTGATGCAGGAAATGAATGTGTTAGGTTTTTTTCTCCTGATGGGAACAATTTTAAGACAATACGTGCTGGTAGATTACGTATGCCATTTGACTGTGTATGCCATAATAGTAAAGTGTTTGTTTCTGATCGTGACGCTCATCTGATTAAGGTCTACAATAGTAATGGTAGATTTTTGTATGAATTTCGAAGCTATGGACCGGGGGAAGGAAAGTTACGTCTTCCAGCAGGTTTAGCAGTGGACAAAATGGGACATCTTCTTGTTTGTTCCTTAGATAATCATCGAGTGCAGGTTTTTACTTTAGGTGGGAAGTTTATTGCTAAGTTTGGGGAACATGGACAAAAGTTGGGGAAAATGTGCGGCCCTACCTCCGTTTTAGTACTGAAAAGTGGTCGCATTGTTGTTTGTGAGTTTCACAACAATCGCTTACAAATATTTGAATAAAATTGTCTTTTTAATAGAAGAAAATAAATTCAGCTAAGATATATGTAATATTTTACTTATGTTTGGATTAATTTACTAGTAATAGACTCAGAAGGTCTCGCACTATTTAGGCATTGGTAAGCGTTGGTAAGGGAAGGTAAAGATAAAAGGCTAAGCTAAGAATACACAGTTTCCCTTTTGCGATGTTTTACAGTCTTATAAACAAGATTTAATTAAGCAGCAAAACTGGGGTTTTATTCTTTTTCGCCCCATTGGCCGAAATAGTCTAGAAATTGTAACTGTATGATGCATACTTTTTTCTCAAATGTTATGTTTTGCTTTTTAGAAAAAACATCAACAGCGTCCTGTTCAGTAGCTTTAATATGAATGGTTACAGTTATTATCTGAAAACAACCCAGTTTAAAAAGTTTAACCTAGTTTGGAAATTTTAAGCTAGTATGAAAAATTTAAACAGGTTAAAAAGAAATGAAACCAAAAAAAACTTGAACCATAACATATACAACAGACACATTCTTGAATTAAATATATTAGGGGGAAACGTTAGAACCACAGTGAATCAATCAAGGGACTGATCCTCACTAGGTAAGGACAAGTTTGTTTTACTAATAATTTTTAATGTAATTGACCAACTGGTGAGTGACAAATACAATATATTTTTCAACTTTAATTACTGTGTATCTTGCCCAATTTAGAATCCCTTCGCCTTTTATATTTCAAGGAATATATGACCCAAAAATTACTCCGCAGAACAGCTAAAGAATATATATTATTTTGAACTTTAAACTGTAATGTCATTTGCTCCACACTCTTGAATCTGAATACTGCTACAGTGGAACCTTGATATAACGAAGTGCTAAGGGACTGGCAAAATTTGTTTGCTATAACAAGGTTTCATAATATCGAGGTACTTTTTCATATATTTTACTATTACTGGGGTAAAGAAAATAGTTTGTTATACCAAAGACTTTGTTATATCAGAGGTCTGTTACATTGAGGTTCCACTGTATCAGGTGAACTATAAATTTGTTTGAATGGTTTGCACCTCCATTTGCTTGCTGAAATTCTTTCAGATATACATGTGATCAAAGAAGTAGGCAGCTGTACTTTCTTTGATGCAGTTTCCCACTGAATGTTGTGTAATGAAACAACAAAAATTTAAAAGTGACAGGGATGCTTGTTGTCTCGCTTAGGGGCGTAATAAATATTGCAGATTTTGGTCACACTTGAGATGTTTGGGATGGAAAGTCACTATATTTAGTTATCACTTAGGTCTGGGCATACATAATTAATTAACAATGTCTGTTTTAGTATGGCCTCCTTTACGAGTCAATTTAAGCTTGAACCACACCCACATTGGTCTCCCTTACGGGTTCACTTTCATTTTTCTTTCAATCATCACCGTCACCTTTATATGGGAGTTCCCCCCACTTCCCCCGGGGCCAGCAGTCCCTTATGATTGTCATGAGAGTGAGAATGTTAAGTCCCAGCAAAGGAGGCAACCATGTGAGTCCCTTTTTCACTAGTTTGCCATCTCAATTCATGCCAAGCCTCCATTCAACAGACTGAGAAAAGACTGCTAACAGCCTTTTGCACCAACTTATAACATTAGAGCTTCTAAGAAAATAATTTACATACAAGTTTAATATATATATTATATATATTAAACCATTTTATGCACTCTTTTAGACTCACTTTAAGGTCTTGAGTGGTTCTGCTCATGCCATACATGTAGCCTCCCATGCAGAATCTGTTCTTGGGCTTTGTCTGGTGAAGGAACGTGTGCCAAGCCCTAAGAATGTCTGTGTGAAAGACTACTCATGCCACAGAATAATATCATAATAATACAGACATTATTTTGCCCACCTACCCCTATATAAAACACTAACTTGGGCATAAATTCTCCAGATACTGTTTTTTCTTGCTATCTAAATGGGCAAGAAATTTGTCTATTCTGGAATTCTTTGATTCTCTATAAGCATGAAGTCTCTGCTGTATGCAAGGCTTTGTTAACAGTTCTGTTATGTTGCAAATGCGCCCTGGTGAAGCATGATATCCATTTGCATGGGAGATCTCATTGGTTGCCGCACCATTCTGCTCACATGTTTGTCTTGCATTTGATATATGGCTATTACCATTGGTGATTGAAGAAGATTCTTCTCCCATTTGATCTAAGACACACCTCAGATCCCATTCTAGATCAGCTTCTAACTGTTTTCTTCTGTTGTTCTCTGTGGAATCCTAAAAGAATGATCAACCATAGATCAATTTTATTGATGATCATTATTTTGTATCCACTCCTTTCCAGGAAAGCTTATAGTACTATGTTTCCTCATCTTGAGCCTCCAGTCCTTATAAATGAGTCTGAGACAGCAAAACGTACATGTAAGCCTGCAGCTTCTATTCACTATCCACTGCTGAATGGTTATTTTGCATAATAATTAGCAATTATTGGATGAGGTTGAGCAAAATATCATAATTTGTCAGTGGCAAGCAGATCAATTATTATTTGCAGAGGCTGAAGGCTGAGGCAAATAACTGATCTGCAAGACACTGACAAATCACGATATTTTGCGATAACCGAGTTCAATAATTGTTTTATCATTTGATCCCTGAGCTTGTTTTTTTCATGAATATCCTTGGGAAGCGAAGTGATCTGCCATTTTCACGCAAGAGCAATCGCAAGAAGGAGAAAAGCATGGTTTCCTTTACGCATGTGCAGAATATTATTTGCAGGCAATGAAAAGCAAGAAACATTTGCATTGAATAATAATTATTATTATTAATTATCAAGAAGCAAATATTTCTTATGTGGAAGTACAAACACTGTATACAAGTAAACAAGCAGTATACAAGTATACAAGTAAATACTGGTATAGCACAAATTCAAAGGGCATATTATGCATAGTATTAGTATTAGTATTAGTATTAGTTTACAGCTGCTCTTATACTTCATGAAAGTAAATATTCAGGAGAATAGATCATTCTTTAAATTGAATTTTGATGACATAATTGATTATGATGTGAAAACCAGCAATTGTTTTTTCTTGTACATGTATTTATAGAACAGCTATACATATGTTATTTTTTTCCTTGGCAATGACAATCCAAGAAGGTTGAAATGTCATAACGTTTTAACAGTAAAAAAAAAAACGATTTTGAGTAACATCTCATTGCAGTTTTTCAAAGTCAAATAATTAGTCAATAAAAATAATCAATTAAATTATTAACTATAAAGAAATTCCAAGTTTCAAGAAGGAAACAAAGAAGTGTTTTGCAACCTAAAAAAATATAACCATTTACATGTATTTTATCATACCCACCATAAAAGTTTTATAATTCCACTGAAAGGAAATAATTGCACCATAGAAATCCCAGACAGAGAATTCAGGCCATAGAACTTTAAGAAATGACAGTGATGAATAGGAACACTGCAATCAAAAGGAAAGAGATTCGGGTGTTATACAAGGTGATGACAGCAAGCTCTATAACATACTTTTATCATCTCAAGATCCCACCCAATAACTGAAAGGGTGGAAAATGGTGACTAGACCATTAAAGGTCTCCTGAACTTTTGATCCAATCTTGAAATCTTTGAAGCAGTGTGTGGAAAAACCCCCCGAAAGTAACTTCCAATAAACTTTTGATTCTCCTTTCAAATTTCCTTGCATTTCCTTTCAAATGAAAGGAGAATTTGACATAATTATATCAATAGCTGTTGTACATGTACTTTCGGTACACAATACTATTATTCTGTTAATACGTTACATCAGAATTTCCCTTATTGTCTCCCAAATAGTTAGGGATGTGAAACACAGTCAATTCTGAATAAAACTATACTGAAAACTTCATTGAATAACAGCTCATAATAACCTAAGAAGGGATTTTATCCACAACATAATCCCTAGTGGAGCCAGTACATGTATGGCTGAGTGGTTAGTGCCTGGAATATATGTAATTATTGTAATCTCAATCCCTGCCCTAACAGCTTGCTGAATTTGTTTTCAGTAGCCCTGAGTTTAATTCCTTGGCAACACTAATACATGTAAATAGCCTTGGAACTATTTTTATCATAATAATTAGGAGTGTACGGTGTGACTTACCTGCCACAACAGGAAATCACTAAAACGCACCTCTCCCGAGGTTCTTATTAATATATCAGGGTGGGGCGATGGGGAAGTGTAAAGACATCTCTCTAATAATGACTCACTAACATCACTGCAGATTGAATAAGAAAGTTACAATATTATTACACTGTCTTGTATACTTATTAATTTTTATTTCATAATACTACAATCATGTACATGAAGTAAATGGCCTATAGCTACGGAAATAGTTCACCATGAGCTCGTCTACTCAGTACATAAACATGACTGTACAATCAGTAGTCTGGGAGGCGATGGGCTCTAATCTTACCAGGAAGCCAGTAGTAGTGCACGGATCTAGATTACACTAGATGGTAAATCATAGATCAGAAACCCAAAGCAATAAGTTATTTGAAAATAAATTATTGTCTCAAAAGGTCTCAGATTTTTAGTATTGTAGCTTAAATTAAATTATAACAGCAATGGTTAACCCAAAAAAGATGCAGCTTGAAGTATCTTTGCTTGAAGTGAATCTCAACTTTCCTAAGATCCCTTCTTAGCATTGCCTCATTATGTCCCTTTTTACTTTCATAAATGTAGTTCTTGTTAACAGATTTTCCCAGTTATGATTAATGATCACACAATAAATTATTGGTTGGGTCAATTGGAATATTTCTGATGATCGATGATGAAAATTAATCTCAGTCAATTCCCAACACTGGAAGCCAGGGCTTCATTTACATGCAACAAGAGGTCTGGCTGAGTAAAGGTACAGCTGTAGCATTGACGTTATACCTCTAAAACTTACTAGAAATAAGTTTGCAAAGTACTACATCACCTTGGTTTCAAAAAACCCAGCTCCACCCCTTCAGCCACAGATTTAACAGCATTGGAGATTTCATGTCTTGATGTATATGCCAGACATACATTCAGTATTGCTCTGAGGGAAATAAAAAGAAAATTTTCAATTTGAGTGGCAGCTAACACCACAGGACAAAATACATGTATAAATATACAAATATACATGTATAAATATACAAATAAATAGGAATATTATTCATGATCATGATTACTCTGCAGTCCAAAAAAAGTTATAAATTCTGGTTTCCTTGTATGTGGAATTGTTTCCACTTGTTTGGTTGGTCAACATTGCTATGTAAAATAATTGTTTATTGTCTTGAGGTAGTGTCCAACCAATGATTTTTTCTTCCATTGTCAGGATTTTCCTTTTTCAAAATTAACGTTTCCTGACTGGCTACACGTACCTCTGAGTCACTGAGGATATTACAAGTTAAGATCATAAATTATTATATACAGCTATTTTGAGAAAGGTTTTCGGAAAAATGTGCACGCGACAATCCCGAAAGGTAATATGGGATATGATCAATACACTGTTTCTGATGACTGTACCTGTCGAACCTACTTTTGTTGCTTTCCTTTAGCACTCGCAAACACATTTCCATGGCCTTTTGTACCAATTCCTTCAAATTTCTTTAAAGAACAGTGAACTTAAAACCACCCACAAAGCCTTTCGGGATTGTCGCATGCACTTTTTCCGACAACCTTTCTCGAAATAGCTGTATACACATTATGACATGTACACTGGGCTATTTCTATCACTAAGCAAAAATGCTCACTTTATTTTTGCTTACTTTCTGTTATTTTGTGAAAACTTAACCACTCTAGCCACTGATCTTTGTAGATCTTCAGGTAACAATGTTAGATCACCAAGAGCTCTCACACATACTCCATGTTTTTGAATCATTTCTCTACAAGGATACAACAAAAAAACCTCACTAATGGTTTTCATTGTGTTCTCCTTCTACATTTACACTGGATAAAAAATAAAATCTATAAAGCAATGGTCTGAATGTAGTACATACATGTACATGTAGTTAAGCAAACTCCCTCCTAGGGTCCCCTCCTACTTACTTGCTCCTGGAGCAAGAGAGTGAGAGAACCTGGTCTGGTCTGTCTGGTCACATTTCTTCTAGACTTTAGCAAATGACAAACTAATAGTGGGAGGGAGGGGTGGAAAAGTAAGCTGTTAGTCTCAGAGGGTCAAGAGGTTTATCAACATTTTATCATCTGTGTTTCACAATTCGTCCAGCAGGGCAAAGGTGAAGGACCATGCAAATAAATGTAACTCAGTGTAATCACTGTCCCCAAACATTGTTTTGAAATGAGGACACAGAATCAACAGGCCACATATAAAATTGATAAATTCTTTTAGGTTTTAAATGTATCCCTTAATTTTGACATAAGATAGATCATGTGACCCTGAGCTGCAAAGGGCCTACAGGTGTACTGCAGCTTGTTGAATGAGCAGAAAACAAATTCAACACTTTAAAATTATTCACCATTGACGCTCAACAAGTTGCAACTTGTTGAAGAGCATACATTTAGAGCATCTTATACAGCAGTAGAGATACATGTACATTTTTAAAGTTTGCTTCCTCTTACTTTTCTTCCATGAGTCTGTCAAATTTTTGCTTGGCAAGCTCCATGAGCCCATCAACTTCATCTTTTGATCGTTTGAAGTTTTCAATACTGAAGGCATAAACTGTTACCTCAGGAATACCAAGATCAAAACACCACTCTAGAACCTACACGTATAATAAAAAAACTGATCTAAGCTATTAAAAAAAAGAAAGATGCATGCAAATTATGCTGGCTATGTAGCATGGAATCTCTAGTAGCACATTGTTGAAAACACCTTATGGAAGCTCTTGGACAATTACGGAATGAATAACCCAAAAGAAAACCTATTTCACATTCTTCACAAGTGCCAAGCAAAGTTTGTACAGTGCCTGTATGGACTATTAATGCTGTTCATAAAAGAACTGAGTCCAAGTTTGAAGACCATTGCCAATCTCTTTGAAACAACATTCTTTACTCTTATATTGGCCCAGTTGAACCAAGCTTTGTTATATTTAGTATTTATATTTTTCTAAAAAGCTCTACTTTTTCTTTGGAGATGACTGTGGTTTAATCTGAAAACCTTGTTTTTTTTTTTACTAAATACATTTTTTTAAAAACTTATTCAGAACATTGCAGTGAAACCATTCACCTGCAGCAAGTAGTTCCACTTGAGTTTTCAACATTTTGACGTCATTTCTACCGTCAATTAGAGTTTTTATCATAACTGAGTGATTTCTAGTGTGGTGATTGGTTGAGAGCTATGTTCAGTAAGAGTACAGACCATGGAAATGACGTGATGGTGTTGCAATTTTTTTTCTCTTTCTCAGGAGCAAGATTTTCCAAGAAATTTCAACGGAGATAGACATCAAAACAGTTACTGTCAATGTTATGGTAAAAAAAAAAAAACAAACCGGCAACAATTTCCCATGGCAGGGTTCAAAATAACTGACAGGCCAAATATTTTTTAGCCTGCAAAAACCCTGATTTTAGCTGGTCAAATAATGAATACTATAATATATATATTTTTTGCCTATGGAATATCACATTACGCTGGTGATAGACCGTTGTAGTGCATTGACGTTCAGGTTTTTGTCAGTAAGTTGGTGAAAAATTCATTCACACATTCTGGAGTTCCTTTCTGCGGTTTTTGCCCGTTTTCATGTCTGTTATACTGATTCTCATTCCCAGTCATCCTTGGTAATTTCAGATGTGACGTCACCTGTCAAGCTTGTCGGGAAAATTCGCCGAGGACGCCTTGCGCTATCGCACTCGGTTCCAAGCCTCCTCTGGTAACTCGGATAGCGCGAACTGGCCTGGGTATGAGGCTGGGTTATACCTTGAGTATCATGATACGGCAGTGTCAGAAATCCCCAAGGTTCATCCCATATCTGCATATCGGTAAAACTTGATCTTTTTCATTGCCCAGCACGTGATCGAAAGTCTTCTCCACAAAGAAGAACAATGCTATATATTTTTGGTAAAGAAGTTGATTTGGGGGGAAATCTGTTCCACAAACAGCGTGTTTATCATCAGAAGTTTAATATACAGCAGAGCTTTCGTTTGAGTCGTCGCGTAACATTTTATCGTGAAGGGCTCATTAACGTCCACAGAAATTTGCATAAAGCTGTTTACAAGAAGGATGGATAGACGACGTTCGTTCTCGATTAGCTTAAATTTTTATCAGACTACTCTGGAATCGAGTCCGCAAACAAGATTCATGTTCGACATAAAGAAATTATTATAAAATCGATGAGCTAAAATTTTTCCCGGAGAAACAGTACTGGACGACCTGTTGAGAATTGCAAGCAATTCAGAGCCCTGAATTCCATTGAAGTTGATTTTCACAATCCTCTTACAAGTAGATATGAAACGTTAGATGGACAATACTTTTAGTTATCCTTTAGTTTGCTAACGGATAACAGATTATCGTTACTGTATTTTTCCTCAAAGACGGTCATACAATTGATTTTAGCACATGCAGAAAGTACAGTATGGCCTGCTGCATCGTTGCATCACTCCACAACTCAGTTTATTGTTGTTTCGCTTTGTTGCTTTTCATCATGACATGACAACATGAAATTTATTGCGGCGTTCTTCTTTTCTTTAAAGCTTTTAGTGCAAAGCAGCAAAAAAAAAGCCAAAGAAAAAAGAAATCACTACAGCGTTATAGAGGAAAACGCATTAAGTGACAACTATACGGAAAATATTATGAAATGTCCATATCCAAAAATGACCGGTCAAAATGACCGATGAGACTAGAGTATGACCAGACAAGTCCACGATCAGGCCGGACATTATCCATTGACCGGCCGTTATTTTGAGCCCTGCATGGTCTGAACTCTTATCAACCATAGAAAATCAAATGACGTCAAAATGTTCAAAACTTTGCAGTAAAACCACTCACCTGCGAATCGTTGCTTTTAAACATATTGACATCATTTCTATGGTTGTTAAGAGTACAGAGCATGGAAAATTACTGTCGATTTGTAAAATAGAACATGGAAAATTGTTGCAGTTTGTTAAAGCGGGACCACTACATTATTTTTCTGTGATCTGATTGGTCAGATTACAGTAGCCGCATTGTAAGTACACCTCTAGCCCTAAAATTTCATTAAGTAGGTCAAAGTTCACATTCTAAAATCAATGAAATGTACTCATTCTCATAAGGGTAGGGCTAGAATGAAATTAAGGGAAGGAGTAAAATAAGATTTAAGCACATGAGTTTATATCTATTTAAAATTACAGGTTTGTTTATGGTATTATGGCTTAACGGTTACGTAGCACGATTTCATCATCCTTGGTGGGGCACTGGCTGACTGAGTTGGGGGATAGCCTCTTCTTGTGCCAGGACAGCATGCAAAATGAATGAAAAACTCACCAATATATCCTAGAGTATCCTTTAGAGTAAGAAATTATTCAAAATATACATCGTTTGTAAACCTTGCAGACAGATAGGTAGGACGGGAGCTTTCTTTGCAACCTACCTCGGTCAACTTTTCGAATCCCTTTTCGTGTCCTTTTGAACGCTCGCAGTTCACTTTCTTAGCGAATCTCCTATTTCCATCCATAATTATTGCCACGTGTTGAGGCATCGGACCGGCTTTTATAACATTATTACAAAAAGATCGAAGATATGAGATCTTCCGTTCTTCCTTAAACCACGACATGTTGGAAATGCCGCGTTTTTCGGGACGAAAAGAACAACAAAATACTGCTCGCACCGGCCAGCCGGTCACGAATTGAAGAGACTATTGACCATCTGAGCGTGCGCACTGCTTTCTTCATGATTATGCATGATGTCATGACAAAAAGAAAGTCGAACGCTGTTTGCCGCCATGTCACGCTTAACCGTTGTTGGTGAAAAGGAAAGAACATTTTCTCGAACTAAGAAAGCGGCATGACCGCTGTAGCATCAAGAATACCTTTTACGTACATCAATTAACACAGAACGATGAACAACGTGGATGAGAATATTCAGCGAGGTACGTTTTGATCGGTCGTGTTTCAACTCATATCCCCCTCACATTCTTATCCTCTTCTTCCGTCCGAAATCTTACAGAACTCTACTTGCTGATCGCCAAGTTCCTCTCGAAGGGTCCCTGTAGCCGTGCTACTGAGGTAAGTTGAAGTATTGTACGTTTATTCCGTTGAAATCATCCACTAACGAGTCGTGTTTCTCACACAGGCCTTGACCGAGGAACTCGTCGAACATAAGGTAAGCTCCCCATTTCTCTAAATCACATTGGACATAGGGGTAGTTACACCTCTAAAATACATTTGAAGGTTTCCCTTTAACTTTTTTTCTGTATTTGGGATTTATAGTCCTCAGCGAGTTATCCAGACAATAGTGTTTGATTCATGCCATGTTGTTAAATGATCCTTTCTCACACTTTTCTTCACAGCTTCTACGACGCCGGACAGATTGGAGGGGCCAAGAACATGACCAAACCTACGAGGAAACGGTACTCTTTTGCCCCTATTTACAAATCTACTCTCAAGCGACTTTTTGAGCAAATTTCGGTGCCAACCACGGATCAAATTTTTTTGATATTTTTCATCGGAAAACGAAAAAATATTTTTCGCGCTTCGTCTAAGCGAAGCCCGAAAAAAAGGGTGAAATTTATTTTGCGATCATATTTTCGACGGGCTAGCAGATTGTGTTTTTTCGCTGCGTTCATTATGAAACTTGGTCAGCCTCTGACACCCCACAACTTATGCATACCAAGCCTTTGTCTATTCATATGGTAATCGGATATTTATGGTGTTTATCGAAAGCGAGCCAATCAGAGGTGAAAGCGGAACGTGTTGGGTCAGATTTCCATTGTTATACAATGACCGGATTAAAATTCCAGCTGTCAAATATACGTCAGAATAATGGCAACACAATTTTCATTTCCGTTCCTTCGGTTGGCGCGTGATCGATCTCACAGGAACAGATGCTTCGCGAAAGAACTAGGCTGTGAAATCTTGATATTGCTGTATTTTGCCCGCTTAAAATCGCCGCATTTTAGCTGGTTAATTGTGCTAGAGAAAAACTGCTCGTTTAGCCACAATCGTTTTTGTTCTGTCTTGTTTTCTCAAGTATTATAAAGCGAAAAATAAAAGTAGCATTACATGAAGAAGGCCTGGACACTATATTTTAATACGCGCCATGTTGCGTTGCGGTAGATTGTGATATAGGTAGTGCGGTCATTTTGTGTTGAAAATTGCCTTTCGTTTCAAATAGGCACCAAATGCAAGGACTTCAGTAACAGGCAAAGTTTTGTAAAGCATTTTTCCATTCAACAGATCGCTGAAAATCGCCATATTCCTGATGATTTCTTGCTACGTGTAGCAGAGCGACTTGTTCCTTTGGTGGAGCAATGTGTGCCTGGCAGCGCACCGGGCTTTCGGTCCTTGCTTGGGGCTGGAAGACAGAGCATGCTACGAACATCCTCAGGTAATTAGAGTACGTCATGGGGGTTATCAAACAGTATGTTAGAAATGACTGAAAAGTCTGAGTTCTAAACGATAGTTTTTTCTGCAGAACACCACACTTCAGTGAACTCAGTGGTGTCTGAAATCTCCTTTTTTTCATAGAAAATTTATCCCTAAGCAGTCCACCCCATCACTTGTTTTTGTAAGATCCTATAAATAAAATAATTGATTAGTAGCCGTAAAAGAAGGGCTCTCGCCTATCTTAATAATAGGGAGCAGGGGGGAGCTTGAAGCCTGGTTTTCATATGTCTGGAAAATCCCAGACGATCGGGGATTTTATTGTTTCCCGACTGTCCCAGATTTTGGCGACTAATGAAAACTCAAAATCGTGGATATCCCCAATCGTCTGGGATGGACGGGGACAAATCTGGAGAATCAGGAGTGTTTCTATGTTCCCCACGCATCCCAGATTTCTGTGATCATGGTCAGCGATCATTCTCAACAAATGAAAACTCAAATTTGTACCGTCAGGGACGTTGGCAATGGATTTTGCTCATTACCAACTCTCTAAATTGTTGGGCTTCAGTCTCCCTATCACACATTTGTTTACAAATTTCAATTTTTGGTGCACTTTCCATTTCCCACCAAATTCAACATCAAATGAATCTAGGACAGACTTCTGGCAATTATCCGATACATCCAAAAATCTGAGAAGGTTGGCAAAAAGTAAAATCCCTGATCATCTGGGATTTTGAGGACATATGAAAACCAGGCTTGAGCAATTACAATGGTGACAGCAACGAGAACATCAAAAAAGCAATAGTAAAACAACAACTTTGCATGTGAAAACACCTTTTTGGAAAATGCCCAATTTCACATTTTATGGAGGACGTAAACAAGCAACGATGAGTTTTTCTTTCTCTTTCTAAACTTGAGTGCGGTCCCCAAAGAAATCAATGCCAAGGAAATCCACCTACATTTGGCAGTTTCAGCAAACTGTAATTAATGTGAAGAAGTTTGAAAAAATGTGAGATCATTTTAAAAGTGATGTTTTTGCTGCCCTCACCATGGTTGATGATAAATCTCCCTAATAATGTTGGTGGGTCTGTGGTAGCGTCTGCACCACAGATGGAAATTAACTTCTGGTTGAGACTGTCTGCAAAACAGCACTGAAATACTTGTTGAGGGCCCCCACCTATGTACCAGGATTTGAGCACTTGGCATGATTGACCTGTTAACTAAGGGATTGCTGATTTGCCAATCAGGTTGAAGGGAAATTCATAACTCATTTCCTGTAATTCATTGAGTCCATTTGGGGCCCAGAACGGAAGGATCACGGCGCTTCTTTGCAGACATCACTAACCTGTGTTTGTTTACATCTGCAAAGCAGGCTAGTGCTGTAAGAAATAAGAGCAGTGCATGTAAATATATGCTGTTTGATGGGGTCCAGCTCATGCAGGAGCTAAGTACATTTAGTAGAATCCAACCAGTGGTCTATTATCAATACTGCATTCTGATTGGTTGAGCTACTACAAGGCTATATGTTATAGCCCACTAGTAGCGAAAAGCGCCAGCTTTGAAAACCAAAACAATCGCAGCTGAATTCCGTTTGCTAGCTAAAGTTGTTTTGTCTCTATATTTTTTACCAACTAGTTGGATTTTACTTTACTAGGCTGATTTTCAAAACACCCTCATTTCGTGCCTTGAAGGGGAAGCCATGCCCCTGTCAGTATTTTACTTTGTCCATTTCAATATCTGTACGTTGCTGTCACAGTTTTAACCCACCTTTGTTTGATATTTGATGCCTATTCAAGGATGGGGCAGTGGTGAGCACCTCCCACCAACGTGATTTGCATTAAAATCCTGGCATTGACACCGTACATGGGTTGAGTTTGTTGTTGGTTCTCTCCCTTGCTCAGGGAGGTTTTTCTCTGGACACTGCGGTTTTCCCCTCTCCCTTGAAACCATACATTCCAAATTTCAATTTGACCAGGATAGATGTAGAACCAGTCCCTGTGGATGTGCTACCTCACAATCTTTATATTTTATTTATTTCATCTGTCTGATTCCCCTTTTTCAAGGCCATAATTATGTACTTACATGTACGCTGCCTTTCAGAATAAATGTGCCATAATGTGTAATTTTTATGGTGTATACGAGTTCTTAAAATGTATAATAATGCGTACAATAAAATGGAGGTGATGTATGTAATGCTGCATGTAAATGTAGAAGTTGAGTGAGGTTCACCGTTCATGTTTATGCGTGGCCTTTCATGCATTGCCTCTGTTTTATTAACACACATAAAATTTATGTGTGTATGCATGTAAAAGAATCACAACATTGGAAATCCACCCTAACAGTGATGTGAAGTGATGTTATCCTTTTTACGTTTGTAGAAACAAATACACCAAGGGTGAGTTCATTAGCAGTGTGTCATCATGGAGCCCCTTTGCTACCACCAGTGAAAAGAAGGATTCCAGGAAATATTGGTAATAGTTTTGTGTCATTTATTTACTTTTTTCATTTTGTAAGTGTTGGAGTTTGACCAGCCTGCAGTTATATAGAGCTGCTTCTCATTGCTTCCCACCATGTTGTGGTTTTTTTGTGAGAGAGACATTTGCCTTTTGGCTTCACAGATTCCATTCTGATTATGTTAATATTTTTTATTTTGGATAATTAATGCAGTAGTGGTTCCTCTCATGTTGCCAAGCCTCTTCCCTAAGAAAAATTAATTGTTTCTCCTTATTGATTGTCATAAATTTGGGAACTGTTCTGTGGGGAATTTGGCACCATCTAGCCAAATGTGAATAATAACATGCATATTGCTTGTAAACAGTGTAGTTTCTTGGTAGAATTAGCCTACAGGAAATAAAATTTATCTTTGAGACCTTCTGCCTTAACTGGCATTTGTAAACAATAGCTAAAAGGACCATTTATAATTAATATCTCTTTCACCAATCAGAACTCCAGACCAGATTCTGGACAGATTAACACTATCAGTATGGGATTTTCTGGGGCAAAATGTAGACAACTCAAAGATTCTCTCTCTTAAAATGACTGTTGTTCCAGTGATAATCAAGAAGCGGCAGTATTTGTAGGCTAAGCTTTCATTGACATGGATGCACTTACTCCCTCGTGAAATTTCTATTTTTTTTAGGTCAAGTGCTTTGCAGCAGAGAGCTAAGTGGAACATCCAGCATCAGAAATGTTGCTCAGCCAAATCTTTACACAAAATTGTCCATGGTATTTTTACATTTTTATGTATTACCTTCACCTTGATTCTTAAAACATCTATCTCATTACTTCACTACTACTGGAAGAGGCCTGTTGAAATTATGAACAGTATGGATTGAAAGAGTATTTTTCTTGGAGTCTTTTTTCTGTTTCTTTTTCGCCACTTATCTTTCCCTGAACCCAACTTTACAAATGAAACTCAAAAATAGCATACAACATGTTGGTTCAGTAAAAGGGTAGGTAGGCAGTTTTGCAGTATACTTACAGGAATTACAGGTATATGTCAGAGAGTTTTGAATTACCGTTACATGTTTGGGTACATGTAGGCATCTCATATTGCCATCTTTTAATCAAGAATCAGAGGAATAACCCACTAAAGAGTAGCCAGCCAAGAGCAGATTTGGGTGTTCTGGGTGTTGGCTATTTTTGAGAACACCACAGGTGTAACCCTGTTTTTTTTTCATCAGCATCGAAGAATCCTGGGCCATTTGTCAGCTGTTTACTGTGTTCTGTTTGACAGAAGTGGAGAATGCATTATTACGGTGGGTAGTTGTTTTCTTTTTCTTGTTTTTTCTATTTTGTAACAAATTGATTGAAAAAATGCAAACAGATGCAACTAAAACCAGCTAAAGTCCTACTCCAGAGAAAAACTGTAAAAGGAGTTGAAACTTTGAAATCATGCTGTCGAGACCCAAAAAGATGCCTGAAGTCCATAATAGCACAAGTTCCATAATAAAAGGAGTTTATTTCTGGCAAACTTTTGTTAGTTTTTCAAGGGATTCAGTTTATATAGACTGGGTGTCCATAATACTAGTGGGTGTTGACAAAGCAAGAGTTGGTTGTATTGAGCGTAGAGAACTGAAGTCTTTTTTTCTCATACAATTTACCTCCATCAGTGACCACACCCTTTATAAGTTGCGATAATCATGTCCAAAAACAATTTTTGCTATTTTCACCATTGCTTGCATTTCTGGATATGTGTATCATCAACAACCTTTTTTTTAAAGAAGGTAAGAACCGATATTGTCTGTAAAAGCAACTTATTGTATAAGAGCTACACATGTATGCTCTTCTGGACAAATCTAGGTTCTTATTAACACTGTTCTTTCGAAATGATTTGATGTTATTGTTTAATAGGGAGCTGATGACAGCTTGGTGAAGATTTGGTCCAGTGAGGATGGGCGTCTTCTTGCAACTTTGCGAGGGCATCAGGCTGAGATCTCTGATATTGCAGTTAATTATGAAAACAATTTAATAGCTGCTGGAAGCTGTGACAAGGTGTGGAGTCAAATACAGCAGTTGTAGTTAAATTTTGTCAGAGTTGAAGGTGTATAAACTAATGGTTGAATTCCATAATTTTTGGCCCAGTTTGGGTCAGATTCCTACAGACAGAAAGATCAGTCCGATTATTGTGTTGTCGACATTGTACATGTATATATTACAGGTCAAAATTATACAGTTGTATTTGGGTGAAGAGTTTTTTAATTTACAGCTTTAGGTTGATTCTCAATTTTCTTTGTCTCCTAGCCCTAATTCACGATTAACATTATAGACTTATGTATAATAATGGTGTTGGGCCATTATCATGCTGACAAATAAATCAACTGAGTCTTGTTAACTGGCTTAACAAGGCAGTTGTGGGCAGTTAGAAATCAAGCAAAAGCAATTATTGTCCATGGATTTGTGACATCCCTGGCAGTACAAATTTGAGTTTTCAAATTATGTAGGGAACAATAAATTGCTGACCATGGGAGAAACCTGGCATGGTTACGTGTAGGAAACAGTACAAAGTACCCAATCCCTGATATTGGCAACATAATTATGGAAACCAGGCTTTAGCGGGCAGTTCATGACCATGTAATTTTGAGTTCTCCTATTATTGTTAGTAATACACTGTAATTCATTTGCTTGTCCCCTTTTACAGGTGATTCGGGTGTGGTCTTTAAAATCCACCCAGCCTATAGCAGTGCTGCAGGGTCACACAGGCATGATAACCTCTCTCCAGGTACTGAATATCAATGCTTTATACCGATTTGAGTGTGACATTATATATTTGTGTGCATAGTAATTTATTGACTGTCACTTTGTTTGTTTGTTTTTGTCAACAGTTCTGTCCATCCCCATTAAATGAATCCAGGTAATGATTACAAGTATTAATAACATATTTTATTAATTATAATAATAATTCATTATTTATATTGCACAAGTTACATGTGCATATGATCAATGCTTATCACATTATAAAAGCATATTTACTAACAAAAAGCTATAAAAAGTTAAAACTACATGATTAAAAATTTACAAACCATCTATTGGCCCTAATGAAAAGCTCTTTTAAAATTTGTGTCTTAAGCAATATTTTATAAGGATTAAAATTTTCCTCATTACGAAAATTAATGGGCAAGCTGTTCCACAGTTTTGGTGCAGTAGCCAAGAAGGCACACTCGCCCAATTTTAGCAGTAGCCGTTGGAGAGAATGTATGAGAACTGCTAAAATTGGGCCTGATCTCAGGTTAGCCAAGTGTCATATGAGTGACAACCCTTTGTGCTTGTAGGAGGAGTCCTTTGTTTGACCTCAAGTTTTACCCTCCACTTTCCTTGATATTAATAAGTTCACAAATGTAACTTGCAGCAAGCCCATAAAGTTGAAGTTTTGTTATATATATGGACAGAAGACCATGTAGAATACTGTTGCAATCATCAATACATCCTATTACCAATGTTTGTGTTGCTTAGGTACTTAATTATTTTCTTATATGCCTGGCATTTGTGAGATGGTAGTATGGAGCTTTATTAGAAATTTAAAATACAGCGTATTAATAAAATAATTTTTTTTATTGTTTAGATGTTTGTAAAATTGTTTAATTCTCATTTAACACAACTTCATTTATATTAATTATTAGGCAAACCGGCCAACTTCTATTTATCTTGTGGTACATTGCAGTGCTCAAGCCACTCAGAAAACTGACACATGTCAATTTATTAGAATATAATTATTACAATGACTGCATGCTTTGTCCTTTCTTAGATATTTGGTCTCTACTGGTGGTGATGGAACAGTTTGTTTTTGGAAGTGGGATTTATCCACGCTTAAATTTGAGTGAGTACATATTCATTTATACAGCATAATTTATTAGTACTTAAGACAGCAAGTAAAATATTACATGTGAGTACGCGATATACATGTATATACACAACAACTGAACGTCTCTCTTAATGTAAAAAATGAAATCAATGAAAGCAATGTGGATTTCACCCTTTGCCTTGGAAAATAGTTTTGTTTCTGAATAACATAACTCTAATACTGTACAAGGTTTACGTTTGGTTTTATTTTTGTACTAAAACAGTGTCAACTTTTTTACTTCAGACCCAAGCCCATCAGGTTTATTGAGAAGTCACGTCCTGGTACCCAGATGGTGTGCTCATCTTTCAGTCCAGGTCAGAAAAAAAATCTGCAATAAGGCGGAGTACATGTATGCTAGCATTAGCTTTCAGCTGGTGTGTGTATTAGATCTGACAACTGTATAAATTTTGCACACTTGAACCTTAGTATGAGGCTTAAACAACTGCATTTGTGGTGCTTACGATGTATTCTGGTTTCAGTGGCATGACGCAACTTGGGATCTAGCACTCTCCCCTGGTCAGGATGCAGGTCTAATCTTAAGGACACCCCAGTAGTACATGTTTGTGAACAGTGCCCATTTTACACGTGGGTGGAGAAAACATGATACCCAAAAATAATGATGCTAGTACCAATAATATACATGTACACTTGGGTGAGGAAAGGCACTATAACAGTATTAAACTCCATTTAAGTTCCTTGTCTGACAAAACAAGGTGACACAAAACCTTGCATCTAACTCTGCAGCTTAGCCCGGCCACCCAAAAAAAAGATGACTAGCAAATCAAAGTCTGAAAATGGCTTGAAGATAGAAATTAAGATTAACCTGCAATAAATTGAGTTATAGTGCATTGTAAAGGTAACTTGGTAACTATAAGGAGATTCAAAAGGTCAGACACATAGCATGTACTTGGGCTTTGCTCTGAAAAGAAAAGTCTGATGCACTCAAAAAGTAGGCTATTTAAATCTTATCTCCATGGTGGAAGGTGGCTTCTTTTTAACAGGAACTTACTCGAGTTTATTTTAACAAACTCCTTCATTGATTCAGCAGTGCACAGATTTTTCAGTGATATGAATTGAATTAAAATGCAGCTGTAAACCTCTTTAGAATAAAATTTAATAATTAATTGACTTGGCTTGATAATGTACATTGTACATGTGGTACTGGTACAGTTTATCTGACAGTACCTTTTATAGAATGTAAATTGTTCTGATTTACAGGAGGGAGTTTCTTAGTGTCAGGCAGCACTGATCATATTATCAGAATCTACCAGATGACCCCAGGACCCCCTGAAAGAATTGCTGAGTTAGATGTCCATAATGTAAGTAGACTTGTTTTGATGTGTTTGCTCCCTCTACATGTACAGTGTGTAGCTCCAAGTGACCTGTTCGTAATAATGAACCTGTCCTCATCTCGTAACTGTGCATAATGCTTTCTGGGTGCAGTGTATGAGCACCCCAGGCCTAAGGAAAGATAACCATGTACCCTTTAGTGAGATGCTTCAGGCACTGTGCTAAAAGGGGTAGTTTCTTGGTGTTGTAGACAGTTGCGGTTAGCAAATGATGTCATGCAAAAGATTGAAAAGACATGGAGCAATACCAACAACAAAAAACAATAGCAAACAAACAATAGTTCTTGAAAAACCAAGAAATATTCTAAAAGGGAGACTCCAATTGAGCATCAAGTTCATACCTGTGTACCTGCTGTGTACATGTAGAATGCCTTGCAGTTTGACAGGTTCACTGGTGTTGAGGTGAATGCCATGCTGGAGGAAAATGGGATTCAAAATGGTCATAAATTAATGAGTTTTTATTTTTTCATCAAAAGCATTTTTAAAAATCTACATGGAATGTTGTCAATATCTCTTAAACTATTGGAGACATTTTTAGCATTCCTTTTCCTCAAACAAGGCTGTGCTCAAGCAGAGTCTGGTGCTGCTGGGCACTCTAGATTTTACAGGTTCAGAGCATATGGGCCACCTTCAATTTTCCTCAGTTCACAGTCTTGTCAAATGAATTCCTTTGTTTTCAGATTGTAGTTCCGTCCTTGACTAAAAAAAGCCATTTTTGTGACATCATCAATAATTATTATTCTGATATAACAAACATGAAATTTGAGAATTTCTCAATTTACAGCCTGTAGATTAGTTTTGAAAATAATGTTTTCACTCTTTTGTCTTTTAGGATCATGTGGATAGTATCCAATTTAGCCACAAGGGAGACAGGTATTAATTTAGTTAATGTAAATGAGAAGTACCGGGTTGTCCACCCAGCTACTCTGAACTTGACTTCCTGGCGATATGTAACTTCCAGAGGAAAACAGACAAAAAAGACATCAACAATGCCTAAGTGTTGTTTGCACGGCAACTTGAAATCTTAGTGACAGTTGTGTAGTACTACACTGTGAACTATTATTATCTTGACACCAGTTTTCTTGGAAATTTGAGAGAAACAGAAGGGAGCAAACTTTAAGGTTTTTGTCCTCCATCCTGACAGCCTCAAAAAATACATTTATGCAACATGGACTTGCATATTATTGATAGAAACTAATAATATACAAGTCTTTTTTATTCTTACTAGTTTTTTTCGTTTTATTTTATTGTAAATTAGGTTCCTCAGTGGTTCAAGAGATGGCACTGCAAGGATCTGGTATTTTCACAGATCTGTATGGAAACATATTTTGGTTGATGTCGGCAAACGACTTCCAGGGTAAGAATGTTGTTACCATGTTTGATGGTGTTCAACAAAGGGTAGCATAATTAAAGATAGCATTTACATATAATAATTATTGCTTGTTTGTGTTTCACTGCAGTGCCTTTTCATTTACACATTTTATTCTGTGTATACATATAAAAATTTAGTAGCTGTCATTTGAAATGCAAATTAAAAGTCTTTAGTGATAGCAAGGATTTTAATACTGTCACCTTATATTTCATTTTTTGGCTGTATTTTCAACTCTTTGTTTCAGTTCACCATTAGTAGAGGAATCTGTTAGAGCTCTAAAACCAAGAGTGACCATGGTGAGATTTTTGCAAGTTTTTGCAAATAACGTTGGAATTTTTTCTTTGGTGATCACGCTGAGGGTGACTTGGTGGTAAAGCACCAAAAAAATTACTTGTATGTCATGGTTAATTTAATTGATTTCTAATGAAGAAAGAATGTTGTTGAGAATTAATTTTGAATATTTTAACTGTCCTGAAAGGTTGGTTGGGATCTTTGGGACCAGCATGTTATCACTGCTGTTAATGACAACACTTTGAAGGTTTGGGAAGCTGCTACCGGAAATCTCTCACTTGTACTTTCTGTAAGTGTTATTGTTGTTCACTTCTTTATTATAAGCATAAGAAAAAAACAGAAACAAGTTCAGGAGATTGTTGTGCTATGTGAGGATGTACATGTTTTGGGTTTTAAATGGGACTTAAAGGTGATTTACCAGGGTTGTCAGAAATTTTTGAAGTAGATAGCTGAGTTGTCAAAGTAAGCGGCCAGTCCAGGATATTTTATTTAAAAAATGCCATCCTCAAAGAAATGTCAAGTAGAGTAGCCAGCCAATACTAACCAAGTAGGCAGTGATTTTCACCGACAGCTGGCTACTTTTGGCAACCCTGTATGTACATTCCTTATCTCTCAGAGTGAAAAATCAGAGGCTGCACGGTGTAAAGTACCTGTAGGTCTGTTTTTGGAATAAGAAAACAAACCTATTTTGACACCGCTCAAATGAAAATGATTACCGATTTTCAGGACTTGGCTCCAACAGCAGCTCGGTGCAACTTACCTTTTGCCTTAGGAGAGAAGGAAAAGTAGTCTTGTCACAACTTATAAAGTGGGTGCCCTGGATTTCAATGACAGATCACTTTGGCTCCCTTCCTTCTGTTCTGTAAATGCATGTTTCTGTAAAAGTGAATGACTGATCATGATCTTACCATGGAGACTTGGTGTGATAATGAAGGGCTGGGCCGTTCAAGTGATGTGGTCCAATAGTGAATACCCACTGTATGTGGGCTGCTGTATCAAGTCAAACTGGTTGAGGCATCTAGAGTTATTTTCCGAGTAAAGCAATGGGTAGAAAATACTGTAATGAGTAAGTGCAGTGACGTACCTGGTCTTTATCTACAGGGTCACCAAGATGAAGTGTTTGTTTTAGAGGCTCACCCAACAGATCCTCGCATACTTCTTAGTGCAGGTGCAGTTCATTACTTAATTATTATACCGAGTTTTCCTTAAGCCAATGCAAAATGATCCAACAATGTTGTACAATGTTGGATCTTTTACAAATGTAGTTTTACAAATACACCTAAAAGTAACTTGAGGGTATTTACAATAATATGACAAACCTTAAGTTTTCTTTATCACAATATGAGATAGTGAATATTGTCTGCTTGTGGAAAAATTATTCCAACTTTTTTGTGACAAGATGAAAGTGATATGAGACTGAGCCAGGAATAAAAGTTATTGTTATAACCCTTATCTTGGAAAGTCAGTTATACACTAATCCCTTAAGCCAGTTTTACTCACAGAGAGCCAAGGCATTAACCAATCCTCATCTCTTGACTTAAACCTTTCTACATGCTTTTTCCTTCTTTGCCTCCCCTAAACTTGTCGTACTTACTGAACCGTTTCCATCAATAACTTGCTTTAATTTGTTTTCCGCTTAGGTCATGATGGATATGTCATATTATGGGATCTGAGAATTGGAGAGAAAATAACGAGCTTTTACAATTCAGTAAGTTGGCACTGCTCTGTTTCTTCTTTTCATTGTTATGGCTGCACTATACATTGTAGCAGCACCTGGTGTAGACTGTGAACGGTCATTTCCCAAGAGCTATGCGCGGTGAGCGAAAAGGCTTGCCTTCTACGTGTCTCAAAAGAAAAATAAGAGACTGCTCACAATCTACACCTGGGTTACCGATACTAAGAATCTTAATGTTTGCATAATAATATTATAAATTCTATGCTAGGCTCTCTGGATTCCAAAGGCTGAGAGCTTCCAAGTGAATATCCCTGGTTCTTGGCAACAAAAATGTATTTAAAAAAAATCTATTGGCAGGCTAAACTTTGAGTATTCCCTCATTTTCCTCCGGGATAGTAGAGTGAGTGGGTGTAAAAACTATCGCCATTGAGAAAGGTGAGGATTCACACATACGCTTGAGGAGGGTCGTACAGGGGGGGTCTCTCGCACGGTTCACGAACAGGAAAAACAGCGAATCACGGATCACGGCTATCAAAATTTCATTTTCCCGAATCACGAAAATAAAGGTACTCGTTTTAATAACCTTCTCTTACGGTAGAAAGAGTGTTTGAAGAAAGCAAAATCGTTGAAGGCTAAGTAAAGGCTGCTTATCGGAAATCACATACCTAAATCACTCTCGTTGGACGACTCTGACCATTCGTCCACTTCGCTTTGTAACTGCCCGAAGAAACAACAAATCGTCTAAAGAATCTACCTCGTAATTGTCAGCAATAGGATATTCAGCGTCTGAGTCAGTGTCATACTCTTCCTCCTCTTCTACCTCGGTTTCGTCTACTACTTGAACATCTTCAATGGCCTCGTGCGATGTAGAAGGCGTAACAGTCGTAACGGTCGTAGCAGAAGTAACAGTCTCCTCTCCGACAGTGTTAGGGCTGAATGAGACTTTATCTTTAAGATAGTCTGATGTTCTGTTCCTTTCCAAGAAAATTAAGCGAGCCGACAGACTTTGGGTCAACATAAAATACAATACATTCGACCCTCATCCTACTATACGTAGTCGTCTTAAAATAAGTCTTCCGGAGCACTCGCATCTCAAAATCACGCCAAATAGAGTGGTGAAATCACGAATATCGGTTAATAATTCAAGTTCTTCACGGGTCACGCAAAACTTCAGATCCCGGATCACGAAGAATAATTTATTAAATTCACGTTTCACGGAAAATAAAATCAGCCAATCCCGCATCACGGGAATACCCCTGTACGACCCTCCTTGAGTACAGTATTAGCCTCCCCTAGTATCCCTGAGGAGAATGAGGAACTGCTTGTTGTCTAGCAGCGGGTAAATTATAAATTTTTCTTCAAAAATTTTATTCGGCACTAGCAACCTCCAATATTCTAATTTTTGTTACCAGTAATTGTTTTTGCTAATATTCAAGTTACGTCACTTTCTGGAATAACTTCTCAATAGATCGAGAACAACTGTTAGCAATCCAACTTATCTATTATCCCACTGTTATATTTTTTATTGTAATTTTCGTTGTCTTGTTTGATAGCTTGAAGGCCAAGGTCATGGAGCTGTGTTTGATTGCAAGTTTTCATCTGATGGCCTGAAGTTTGCATGTACAGATAGTCATGGACATCTTTGTATCTTTGGATATGGCTCAAGTGACCGATACAGTCGCGTAAGTACCCTTGTACTATTTATTAGTACATGTACCTACAAGAATCTGCCTTTTACTTCTGTGTGGTTCACATGCGGGCTAACTCCTCTGACTAATACAGGTTATTACTTCTTTTACTCGTTCGAAAATTCACTCTAATGAATTTCAACTTTTGGATCTTTTTACATTTTTTTTTATTTCATCATTTCAGTTCATAAATCTTATCTTTGTGTCTCTCCACCTTACAGCATGATGAAAAGTCCATAAGTTATGTCTGTTTAAGGGATTTGTTTGTCTTAACAGAGCTAGCCAAAGTGTTTACATGTAGAAAAGTTTGCTTGGCTGTTTTGATAGACTTGATTGTATTGCATCTACATGTACTGCATGTAGCATAGCTTTTATTTCCCCAAACCGTTTGCTCTGTTATTTCTGGGCATTCAACTTCACAAAGGCACACGAAACATGTTTGAAAGCTTTTAATTAAACCAGTTTGAACAAAAAAAAGTTCCCCAGTTTGGTGCAAAATGTTGATTTCATTTGCGCCTGTTCAACATTGTTCCAATGTCTGTTTTTTATTTTTTATAACCTGGTTTAATTAAACATGTTTAAACTGTGTTCATCAAAGGGTAACGCCAAAAACTCGAGTATGCGTAATTATTAGAAGGCGTAATTGTCATGGTGCAAGGTCACATCCCGACTAAGACACAGTGTTTGTTATTCTCTGACAGGTTCCGAGTGAGCAGTTTTTCCACACAGACTACAGACCTCTCATAAGAGACTCCAATAACTATGTTCTGGACGAGCAGGTACTGTTTATACATGTACTGTGCTGGTGATTATTTCTTCGCGCAAAGCATGATAGTTTTGTTGAGCTTGTAACAGTTATGAGAATAAACGCCTCCTTTCTCTAAAACGCCCCCTTTTGGCTCCCTAAAATTAAAAAAAAAAACTCGACTGGTGTCTATAAGATCATTTACATCTGTATGTCCGTAATTCACCACTTTTTTTTACAAAGTGGACTTTTTAGATAAAAAAAAACGTTCTCATAAGATCATTTACAGCTTTGTTTTTAGTTAAATTGTCAGACGCAGACAGACCCACACCTTATGCCGCCTCCTTTCTTGGTTGATGTGGATGGTAACCCCCACCCTATCCATTTCCAACGCTTGGTACCAGGCCATGGCAGTAATGTGCGCGGTCCACCCAGGCCAGCACCTCAGCCACCCCCCACCCCTAGAGAAGATGTACCACCTCTTCTGGCTGAAATAGAAGCTGCTGAAGCAGCTGAGGCTCAGGGCAGACTCCCCCTACCAGGTTTGTCGCTCAAGACTATTTTTGTCTATATCCATTGCACAAATGTGGAGTAGCTGCGAGGAGCTGAATTTTTTCAATATTTTGCAACTGATCCACATATTTGTGCAATGGATAGTTCCAGGTCCTCAAGCGCTGTTCCTACTATAAAAGAATTATCACATATGTGTGGTTAATAAGCGTTACGAAGTTCTAAATTTCGGAAACTTCATAAGATGTCCAAAGTGGTTTAGCCCTATCGCGTGTTAGTAGTAGACACAGCCCCGCCCAAGTATTAAACAATCCTGGTTACTCCAAATCTTCCTGGCTGATGCATTACCATCAATTGGAGTATGCGCGCGAGATATTGTCTTTTTTGTGTCAAAGGTGTGTTTTCGGGTGGAGGGAGAAGCTTTGTGCAAAGTGATGGCGTATCCCCCATCCCCGCTCCTAGAACAGTCCCACAATGCTGTTCAAACCAACACCAAGCTGCAGTTGTCTAATATCTAATTGCATCTCTCCAATATTTTCGCAGCTCTTCAGTCCCCACCTCCCCATGGCCAGGGCCCAGTACCTCCTCTGCAGAGCCCGGGGGGAAGTCGTAACCAAGGCATGCGGCAGATGGGGGATGTTGAAGGAGTGCGATTGGTGCACGGTAACATACCTGTCATTCAGGATGTATCTGATGCTGATATTTCTGCCTGGAGAAATAGAAGAATTGTGCCTCCTAGGAAACCCAGTGTTGCTAAGTAAGTACTTATGGAGTACATTAAGTTTGTGGCTGCATTTTATATTAGGACTGAATTGTAAGCATTCTTTTCGACAGGCAATCACCCCAAATGCCAAGATTTGGAGGTTGTTTGCGAGAAATTCCAATCAGAGTCATTTGACTGGAAAAACGGATTATGGCGTGTGAGGTGTCACTGAGCACTTCGAGGTTTCGAAATACTTCTTATTACTGCACTCACCCAACCTTGATTAAAAAATCCTCTCGTTCTCCTGGATTTTTTTTTTCAAACACTTTTGGCGGAACGACGCTTATCGTAAACTCAGGAAACCATAACCATGAGAAGTGTGCTACTAATAAGAAATTCCCGAACAGACACGTATAATTCGATAACAGGTGGCATGACTTTGTAACATGTTCTGTAATTCGTCGGGGGAGGACATGGCCTTCAATCTTTATTTAATTTAATTTAATTTTCTTACTCCAAGGTGTGGTGAAGAAAGACGCCTGCTGTTGGGTAGAGAAGAAATGCTGCACTATCTCAGAGAAAAGAAAAGACGCGCTCTGCCATCAACATCAAAGAGGGTAAGAACTAGTAGCCAAAATTGTCATTACATGGATCATTCAACCGCACTGAAAAAAGAATTGGGTGACGTACGCGCCAAATCAAGACAGAACTAGTAACTTGTTAGCTAGGACCTGCGGTTTCATCCTTTAGATTTCGGCTACGGACCCGAAAAGTTATTTGGCCTTTGAGAAACGGTTCCCCAAATAGAATCTTTCTTCCAATATGAGTCATTGGTACTTCTTTTTTTCGAGGACAAATTTTGTTTCTCCCAAGTAGGCTTCCCCTGAATGATGATGTGACTTTATTCAACAGATAACAGTTCAAGTGCCAGAAACACGTCCTGTGGAAGAAAGGCCTCATCAAGCTGCTCGCCGCACCTCAAACCGGCGGACGGCAGGACAGCACTCGCGTGGAACACGGCGGCCTGCTTACTCCACCAGGGCTGCCGCTGCTTTAGATGTGGAGGAATCGGCTGAAGAAGAGGCAGCAGCCACGCCCAGTGACACTGAAGAGGAGGATGACGAGGAAGAGTGGTCTGAAAGTAGCAGGTGAGTTTGGAGAAGATACGGGCTCAAAAACTGAACCTGTGCACTTGCGGCTATTTAGCCCTTTAAGAACAGGATGGTCAGGATCTGATTTCTCTTTTCAATGCCCCCACACGCCACCCCCCAACCCCCCGGCACCCCCCGTCCACTGCCCCCCACTTTTTAGGATTAACCACACATAAAGATCACGAAAATTAGTAGTCTCCAAGGTACATAACTACGATCAAGCCATTCCTCCAACAACAACCAAAATGCCCTGATCGCAGGTTACTTACGCAGCCGTTCATTTTTTGCGTTACACAACGGTCCTTGCCACTTCGCGTGAAGAGACACAAAGAACAGCGGTGTAGTAGACCTTTCCTCGTCGATGTTAATAGCATTATAAAAAGAACAGTGTTGAGCAAGTTGTAACGAAAGTTATTCCAATGAAAGTTGCTGAGTAGTACGTTACTGAGTGTATTCTGTGGTGCAATTCAAAGCAGGTCCTAACTTAAGTTCCTATAATGCCCAAACAGACATCAATGTGCGTTTTTCTTTCATTAATATGTAGTGAATCAAGCGAATATTCGGACTGGACCGAAGAAGTAGGTTTAAGAACGCAACAGCAGACGGAAAATCGCCGGCCACGTCGGGTGTGTAGAGTGCTGAGTACATCTGAAGAGGAAGGAGCAGAACCGTCATCGGCGACAGCAGCTCAGCCAGGACCGAGCTCACCTCAGCGCCAGTCCAAAGCCAAGAAGGAAAGCAAAAAAAGCAAAAAACCCACCAAGAAGAAACGAGTACGTAACGCCGTTGTCATCCATCTTCTTTGCGTTTTAAGAGTATCAACTTAACCGTAGTTCTCTTAGACTGCGAGCGATCTCTCTTTTTCCTCAGATTTAGTGAGGGGAGTGCACACGCACGCGCGTGGTCATTTGCGTGTCTCGCCGGTTTTGCTCGATGGACCAAGAAAAACAAGAGACTGCTTGTAGTCTACATTTTTCTAGGTCATCAACTTCTTTTTTTGCTCGGTGCAATATTGTGATAACTGAACGAATGTCGGTGCGTCCAAATCTTACGTAAAGCTATAAAGCTTTATTTTTGCAGAAAAATAAGCATGAAAATTCCTTTGCTAACCGAAACCCATATAGATTATCATGTGGCTTTTTTGCCGCAATTTAACTGCGACTGCAGACGCCTTTCTGCTGCAGTAGGTGAAGCTTCCAGTAGCGCACGAAAGTCCCGTTTTCTCGGACGAAAAAACGACTGCATTTTCTTAAGTCTTAACTAACCTGCTTGAATATTGAAAAAGCATAACTTATGGGTGGAACACCCACCTACATGTATCATACAGAGAATCATAACTGGGGTGGGAGTGCAAAACGGTTCTAAGGTTATGACTTAAAGCTAAGAACATTATGCTCTGGCTTGCTAACAATTCTTGGTTTCTTGTTTTCAGCCATCAAAGAAGCCTAAAGTGGATGAAGTACAGGAACTACTTACTTTGTACCAACCACCTGATTGGCTGACGTGTACAGTCAATCGTATATCACCTTATGTGCCGCAATTAGGAGATGAGGTAAACTTCATTCTTGCTCCTCTATCAGATAAAGTGGTTTTCAATTCGCCACTTCGCCGGTCAGCTATTGGCCAATTTTTTTTTTTCTCTTTTCCTAGTAATAATCCCAGAAGTCTTTGCAAAAGTTAACTCGGCCCAGTTCCCCTCTCGTATATTTGACCAATCAAGAAAGGAGACTTTTGTTTGGTTGGCTAGTGTTCAGTCTCCTTACCGCGCTCAAATGAGTAAACAAAGGTGGCTGCTTTCCGAAACATTGTTGTGGCAGGATCGCCATCTTTGGTTGCTGTTATGTGTCTACAAAAAGAGCTTTATCGACCGAAAAATTGCCGTAAGCGATTTGAAACATGCTTGTCTGTCATCACCTTGAGTTTCTTGTCATGTTAACGTCCTTTACTTGGCTTACCGACGACCTGTTGCAGGATGATCCTCCTTTGAAGTTCGAGTTATCAATTTAAGCCGCTCAAAATTACGTGTTCTGCGAAAAGTACGAAAGCGCAAAAAGGTGGAACTTTTCGCGCCTGCGCAGACAAAAGTCTCTTGTTTGACCAATCACAACAGACAAACAAATCAATGAACTGGTGAGACCTCAAAGTGGAAGTGTGAAGCCAACTGTTTGGGCGGGAAAGCGCGGGTGGAATATTCATTTTGCTTGTGATTTGCTTGTGATTTTGCTTGTGATTGGTTCAAAGACCTTGAAATATTAAACCACAAACAATGATATTACTTTCATGACAACGGTGGGGCATTTTTAACTTTACTTTCCTTTGTTGTTTTTTCAGGTGTATTATCTTCGTCAAGGCCACGAACTTTACGTCAAAGAGGTTATGGCTACAAAGTGTTACGATATCAACCCTAAGAAGCAATGTTACTACAAACTTAGACTAAAGGTGTGTCAGTGCGGCTTCTTTTTTGCGACTTCTACTCTCGAGCAATCGTTATCTTTAATTAATTAATTAATTTATTTATTGTCCTGTTGACTTGTATATTTTCCTATTTATTTATTGTTTTCGTGTGTTAAACAGGCTGAAGAACTGTGCCGGATTGTCAGTTTACATTACTCAGCCGGCCCACCAACCTTGTGCTGCTTAAAGCTTGGTAATATTAACTATATTCTACTACTATGCTCCACCTTGTTTTAGTCAGTATGTGACCCATGTCTAACAAGTGTCAAGGAACTGGAAAAATGACTCCGTTATCAAGAGCGCCAACTGCCTTGATTGGCTGATTACGTGACCGAAAAAGGAATCTCGATTTAGGGAAGAGGATTTAGAAGTCTTGCTTCACTAGAGTTTTCTCGGGAATCTAATAAATTATTCCGCTTACCCAGCGTTGATGTTTAGTCGTCATCTGCCAAAACTTATCACAGTAACTGGAAAGTAGTTTGGAGACAAAGGGCAACTTCAGGGTACGTTACGCTCTATAATTTGCTGATAGAAAGAAAGCCGAAAAAAAATGGTTAACTGGTTGTTGCTATAATTGCTATGGAGATTTGCTGGCGGAGATTTGGGAGATCTTTTCTAAAACTACAGCTTGTAATCGTGGACATAGTATTTGACCACACGTCTTTTCCGGCGATTGGCTGAGGCGACATGTATTTTCTCTGAAATCTGATTGGTTCATTTGTGTCTCCGCATGTTGTGATTGGCTAGAGAATTTACTTTGGCTTTGATTCTACAACACTCAATTGAGAACCGCTAAATGTTAATTTGTTTTATTTTTCACAGCGTTAATAAATCCCGAAACCGGAAGCAGTACTGGAGCAACATTCACTGTAAAGTAAGTTTCAATGCATGCCAGCAAAAACTTCTGGCGTGGACCGGGCTGAAGCGGGCGCGCGTTGCGACTTTGTGAGTCTTTTTTATAAAACTGGCCGTCTTGTCGGCACACAAACATATTAAGCACCTTCTTGTCCTTTTAATTGGAACCGTAATGACAAAGTGAGACTCTGTTTCCTTTTAGGAGTTCCCCCAGGAGGACAATGTCAAAGATATGACCAAAGTCTTATAATGACACCTTTTGATATTAGATGCAGTTAATGTAGTTTCTTTTATTGATACTCAGCTCCAATATATATTCCTTTGATTTTGTGTTCATTGCCAGATATCATGATATGCCAGACGTGTTAGATTTCCTCATATTGCGACAAACATATGACCAGTCAATAAGCAGGAACTGGAGACCAGGTGGGTTGGGTGGTTACATATTTTTCACAACACCTGAATTTAATCCAAAGTTATTTAATCTTGACATGGTTTTTGATGTAGTATTTATGGTGCTTTGAGTTTTCTGTGGTGCCATTGGCGTACACTTCTTTGGAGCAAGACTGGTATAGCTGTATGCAAGATTACGGCAGTGTCACGGTGTATAATTGTTGCGTGACTCTTCCTGAGGGCTTGCAAGAGTAACACAACAGGCATTTGTTTGAGGCTTATCTTCTGAAATTAACAGAACTACGCCATAGGACTTTGCTACAGTCTTACTCTTTAAGCGAGCGAACTTGCACTGTAATTCAAAATAAGTATGCTTGGTTGACACGCCTTTTATTATCTTTCTTCTCATTCGATGTAGTCACGCGTCACCAGATAACATGTAATTCGCATTACCGTCAACTCCCTTTGTTGCGGACACTGTAGGGACCTTGAGTTAATGTCCTCAATAGCGAGAGTCCGTAATAGCGGGAGTTTATTTCAGTCAAACGTCTGTAATTTGTTTTTGCCGGGGATTTAGCTGTTGTCCGTATTATTGGGGTGTCCATTATAGCTGGGTGTCCGCAAGGCGGAGTTGACTGTGCTATGCTCCTCTGTGAATGGTTGGTTTTCAACTGCTGTGATATGCGCTTTTTTATCCTCGCTGTTGCGGTGAGTTGCTTCCCTCGGCACTGGTCTCCTGTTATTGGGTATCCATGCTTCTGGAACTTTCATTCCACTCTCCCTGTTGATGTTGTAAGTTTTAGGTAGACGCGCTTCTTTCATCGTGCTTGTCTAACGATCAGTAAGCTTTGGAATAAAGTAAGGTGGTTGGTTGTTTCACTGTTTTTCTGTCTTCACAGGTGATCGATTTCGCAGTGTTATCGACGAGACCTGGTGGGCCGGTGAAATAACTGATAGAAGTCCTTTCCAAACTGAGTTCGTGGAATCTCATTTTCAGTGCTTCACTGTCACGTAAGAAATTAAAAATAAAAAGTAAACTTTTAGCTAGTCCTAAAGTTTATGACTTATGTTTCAACATCTCCCAACACTTTGTGTAATGTTTAATAAACGACTGGCGACGTCTTTGTGAATTTTTCAACCGGAATAGAGCCCAACATGTTCAGCAGAGTTCAACATGTTGAGTTGCCTAATTTGATGTTCAACATTGAATAATACAGTGTTCAACATTTGATGAACAAGACCTGCAACATATGTTGTTCTACGATTGCGAAAGTCGAACCGTGTGCATGGTAGGAATAAAAACATTTTTTTGTCCTCAAGTTTTCGTTTTTGAACTCATCAGTCGACGATGTTTCTTACACTTTTGTGTCAAAGAGTACAACAAAACCGCGCTTGCATAACGAGTGCCAGGCTTTATTTTCCTATTACAACCTCGCACCGCTCATGTCGTTAAGGAAAGTCCTGGACCTAATATATATTCTATTGAAATGTTTACAATGTGTGGTGTTTTTAGATGGGACACGGGCGAGGTAGAGCGAATGAGCCCCTGGGATCTACAGCCTGTCACAGAACGAGGTAAATAAGTGTTCTCATTTCTTTGCTCATGCAACTTCATGTATTAAGATCTCAATTTTGCTCGGTTGGGGTAGATGCAATTAGATGGCGGGGAACTGAACTGTTAGAAAGTCTTTTTGCCTTTATTTTTGCTGTTTCCTATGAAACACTCCGGGGACAATGCTGATGGTAGCCAGGGAAAATCCCAGAGCGCGCGCTGTATGATGTATGACATCATCGTATTTGAAAACCTCCATTTCCTTCCCCCGCGTTTCCAGAGCCCTCTGCTCCTGAGACCGTTTTCAAAAACCTGCTGTTTTAAAAATATCCTGAGTGTGGACTGGGCCTTTTGAGAAGAGGTTCTTGAGTAGAGAGTTTTGACGGTTTTTTTTTCTGTCAGACCCGGGGAACCCCGACCTCTCGGCCCAAGACACCGACGCCTCAGGCGCTGCAACAAGTAACATACCGCTGACCGATGAGGAGCGGCTCATACTGGCGTATGAACCCGAAGATTCTGATTGGCTCGGTGAAGGACGAGATGCAATGACCGAGCGACTTGTTGCGGGACTAGAAGCCCTGAGTCAGCTAAATTTTGCTGGTCCTTTTGTGTACCCTGTGGATGTACATGCGTATCCTGATTATTGGACTGTAGTACCTTATCCTACTGACTTGAGCAACCTGCGAGAAAAGCTCTTAAATAAGTATTATCGGTATGACCTACTCTATATTTCCTTTAAGCTTGCTATCCATTCACCCTGCGTGCAGTACGTCCTTTTTTCTTCTTTAGTGAGAAGAAGGAGAAAAGGAGGTTCCACCTGAATCGTGTCTGCGGCCCGTTTCTCGAGAGGACAAAAAACTTTTCGGGCCAGGGGCCCGTTTCTCAAAAGTCCCGGTAACTTTACGGGCCCGAAATCCAATATTCAAATCGAAATATAAAGAATAAGAGCGCGGGTCCTGGCTAGAAAACTACTCCATTTTGTTTCATTAACTGACAGTTTTATCAGGTTAGATGCAAAACTATTAAAACCTCGATCTTTAATGTAAACGGAGATTTTAGAAGGGAGTTTTAGAAGTTTTGAAAATTATACAGTAGAGTTATTAGCTAACGAAACAAAATGGACTTCATTAGCCCGTTAATTATCGCGACGTTCGAGAAACGGGCCCCAGAAGACAAATTTTAAAAACCAACACTGTTGAATAGGTAGCACAGCTGCTTGCCCACAATTCAGTCAATTTTGACTCGTTAAGTGATAGTTTCATTGTGTTATTTTCAAATTTTTGAAACTTTGATCTCGAATGCAAAGACAACAAACACAAAACAGCTTTCCGGGCCCGAAAAGTTCCTGGGACTTTCGAACAACGGGCCCCAGGTCGATGGAGTCGGAAAAGTCCGAACTTCTGGACCAGTTAATCTTGTCATGGTTGCCACAGGTCAGGATATGGTTAGGGAAACAAAAAATTATTCAAGGTCAGGGAAAAGTCGGGGAATTTCACTTTAAGTCAGGGAAAAGTTAATTTTACTTAATTCCTATGCGCGGCTAAAAAATCGCTTAAATTTGTGGTATTTTTTTTCCCAGACGAGTAGCAGCTCTTCAATGGGAAGTGAAACAGCTGGAGAAGAATGCCCGACTCTATAACGAGGAAGAGAGCCAGATTGTCAGAAATTCATCCAAGCTCGTGTCTGTTCTAAATACATTCATCAGGTAGAGGACAAATTCCGCTACAGTCAGATCCCGCTTTACAGACACCCGTTTAATCAGTTTTCTTTGTCCCTTGGGAAAGCCCTTACATTTTCTCTAAATTCAGCCCGAGAAGAAAAAAAAGAGACTTTCTTTTGTCGTGCCTCTCCCGTCTCGCGCCTTCAGTCATGCGCGTGGTCATTTGCCTGTCTCGGGCGTTTTGCTCGACGGACCAAGAAAAAAGAGAGACTGCTCGTAGTCTATACGGAAGATCATAGGTTCTCAATTCCTGTTGGGGACTTAGATGTTTTCTTTCTTTGTCCCTTGCTCGTTACATGTTGATCACATCATTTCTTATTTCTTACCCGAGCTTAAAATTTACCATCATTCTTTATTTAACACACACATGACGATTTTGACATTGCTGATCCTAGCGGTATGCAGAGCGCATGTCATACATGAACCTTGTATATGGCCTAGCTAGCCATGAGTCCTTCGTAGCTCACTGCAAGTGGCTAGAGCATCCGACCAGTGTACTGAAGGTCATAGGATCAATTGCTTTCTTTGTCCCGTGCTCGTGACATGTTGGTCAAATCATTCTCAAGACAACTTTTCTCAATCCTCCAGAACCCCCAAGAAAGCAATGCACTCGATTTTGAATTTGATTTTTCCTTCTGGACAAATTCTAGTCACTCCTCTTGCGCCGAACGAAATGACAGAAAACGTGTTTGGATAAAAATTATTATCCTAGTTAACTGAGATCGTTTGATTCGTTTCAAAGGGACTCCTCCTGTAACGATGTACTTTCACTTTGTGGGGATGAAGAGGCAATCGAAGGTGATGTTGAGGTATGGAAATAACTTATTGTTATAAGAAACGAATCTGATTTTCCTCATGACAGCCGTTATGTTATATTGATGCGTTGCACAAGATTTTGCTATTTTAGAACTCACCTTTCTAATGGTTTCTCCTTATTTTACAAATTTACTTTTCGAACGTAGCTTGGACAGAAAAGCAACGGCATCTACTGTTACGTTTGTTTCTGTAGGTAAAAGTTGACAATATGTCTGAAGAATCCGCTGATGAAGGAGACACCTCCCAGGTACAACATGGAATTTTTTTTTTCAAAATTAAGTTTGTCTGGCTGACTTACTGAACGACCAACTTACTAACTCACTGATTGACTGACTGACGGACTGACTGATTGATTGATTGATAGACTGACCGACCAATCATAACCATTACTGCTGCGATCATTAGATTTTTAATCATGACCAGCGCTCTTAATCCAGTTTCATTACTTTACAGGATTCTGGTGTCTCGGGCTCACGGAAAAGAAAGCGAGTGAGTAAAACTTGCCTAGTCTTATTTCAGTGTCGTAAAACCAGAGGCCCAAGTGTTATCACCGGCCAAGATGTTACTTTGGGGTCGCCTACTTTTTAGGCAATCTAGTTTCGGATCTAGATCACCCAGTTCTTTTCGGATTGTCTTGTGACTAGAACCAGACGCCAACCAAATATAGTTCTATGCTTGTCATTACCTCTGGAGTCCTATACGTTTCTGGGAAACTGCTCACCTACCCCTTCCCTAAGCCAACATTTTTCCCCAAGTGAGAAGTGAGTGTTAATGTTGACTTAGGGGAGGGGTAGATGGGCAGTTTCCCAAAAACGTATAATGATCCGGAGTCCTTTGATGTGTATGAATACGGTTCACCAAATGGAAGGTGCATTCTGAAATCGGATTCATATTCTCATCTAAGATTGTTTACTCCTAACTGCAAAGAAGATCGAAAATTCAATCACAGCGTCAGGATTTACAGTAGTTAACTTTACTATTTCAACTTAAGAATGAGAGCTTTGTATATGGG